TTGTTTAATCACATGGATTTTTTTTACAAAGGCCAGTTTGTTCCTCCTGTTCAGTGTTGTCTGTTAAAAATGTGAAAACATCTAAGTTTCTTGTCTTGCTTGCTCCTCTCGCCTCTTATCTATATAAATCTGTCTCAACACAACTTCCTAAACCGCAACTATTTTTGTTCCTTGTGATTTTTTTCTGCTCGCGAGAGAGGTTATGTAGTTTTGTTTACAGACCTCATGTTTTTGAATAGAACTATAATATTTTACATATGGCTGAACTTGTTAAATATTATTGTCTCTTCTCTATGCAAATTATTTTCACTGCCAAAAGCTCTTACTTCATCGATAAACTTATTACAGCTGACTGGGTGCATAATATACACTAGTGGTCATCTCATTTTATGTAAACTAATATTTAAAGCTTATGTCAAGAGTTAAGTTCTTATCTCGATTTTTGAATGATCTTTCGACCAAACGAGTGCGAATATAAAGTAAAGTCCTTTACCTGATGACGTTGATTTTAGGCAAATTTCACTCTATCCTTATTTAATTAGGCAGTTTTACCTTCAGAAGGAAATAAGGGCATTTCTTGTTATTATTCGTCAAAAACGTTTTTGCTGTCAACGAAAATAGGTGATAATGTGTTCCATTTTTTATAATTATTATTTTGGAGTATTTACATTGTCCAAAATCATTCAAGTTACTAGTAATTAAATAAAAAATTCCTCTTCACATGTGCTCTAGCTTAGAGCTTCCTATTTCTCAAAGTACATTATTTTTTCCTAGTAATGGCTTGACAGAAACTTCCTGTTCTATGCAAATTAAATGCCGCCAGTTCAATATTTTTCTAATTTCTTATTTCGATATACCAAATGAACAGTTATCCCATTATCTTAGTCTTACCAATCATTCAGTTTTTAAGGTAGCACGATTCAGATAAATTTTGATCCTATTTCTCATAGCTATGTGTTTTCTTGAGATACATGCGTTTCATCTATTTTACAGTTTTCCCTTTCCAAAGAACATTTTTCTAAGTTTAGGTAGAAGTGACCAAACTTTTAAGAATATAGATGTACATGTACATGTACATTTACTAGGAACAAACTTCATGTTTCAGGAAATCATTACTGGCAGTGTTAAAGAAATAAGCAGAGTAACCAGAGATATATCAAAATGTAAGATCTAGAGAGAAGAATAAAAAAAGAAGAAATTTATGAAAAAGAGTTAATGGTCTCACAGCCACAACAAATTATTGAATTGCAACCTTAAATTTATAGCACCCATTTGAGAATAATGCCAAAAGAACCAGCCTTATTGAAGACAAAATGGCTGACTTGCCAGTAGATTATAGACCTGATTTTGCACAAAACTCGAGTAGAGGTAGACAATTAAACTTAGCTCCTCAGAAATTGTGTAAGTGATCATCAAAGTCCTCATACATTACTTCAGAAAGAACAACAACATTCCTATGTATAGAATTGCCTTATACAGTTTTCACTATCCAGATTTCTTCTCCCCTTAAAAAATATTTTTCTTGTACTCACAACAAGTAGTCACAAAAAGGACATCAAAGTGGCAATTTCGTCTTCGAATGATCACTTTGCACAAAGGGACTAGGGCGAGTTTCAAGACCGGCACCTTTTTAGTTGGGAAAAGTTATCATAATGGCAATTAAAACCATTTAAACTACAAAAGAGGCTTTTGTTACTATACCTCTATTCAGGCAACTGGTGAAAATTACCGCCACTTTTTATATCGTTATGTTATGTGCAGTAGGTGATATGCAGTGCAAAACAAGGGACTTACCTTAAACAGTGGATTACAGGAGGTGCTGAAAAAGCTCTGATTCATAAACATTGTAAGAATGGAAATACAAGTGTCTTTCATTTTTTTCTTCATAGATGTCCTCAATGGATATAATGGCACCATATTTGCTTACGGACAAACATCCAGTGGAAAAACCCACACAATGGAGGTATGTTTCTTCCTTAAGTTTATGGTCATGATCTAGTCAATCCTTACATACTGCACTAATTATTACTTAGAGTCATTTTGTTCTCAGATGAGGTGCTTATATGTAAAATGGAAGATACGCCCAAAGCATGTATAATATGATTATTCAGCTTAACAGTGTATGTTTGTGCAACAGCTAGTGTTGTTTCAATCATCCAATGTTATTGATCATTGATGGAAATTTTAAGTGATCTGCTAATCGATTGTGGAAAATGTGCAATCATTTATTTTAATGGGAAAAAAATTCTTGTTGGCAACTAAACGTATAAAAACTTTTGTGTTGCCTTTTTAATGGTCTCATAATTAAGGAAGAAGAACAGAGATTTTGATCTCCCAAAGGCAAATTCTGAACTCCCGGCTCGATTTATACTCGTGCCACAACCCTCAGGACACTCTGATCACACTTAGCTACTGGAAATCTATCAATATGTCGAGAATTATCATGGCTAATTGATTATGAATACACTGCATTAATAACCAGAAAGCAAAAACAAAATGATCGCACACCTAAAGAAAAAGCCACCAATGCAGGCTACTACATCTTCAATGTAAACAGTTGATATCTGCTGCTGACCTGTAAACCACATTAGTCGTGACAGGAATCAAACCCCGACTTGTACAATACACACTGTATTTACTTAAATTAACCCTTTCAAACTGCCAAATATGACCAAAGGCAAATTCGACAAAAATCCCAAATTTCATTTTGTAACATGTTTTAAAACAAATAACACCACATGAAAGTACTTCCAAAGAGATTTCCTTTGAATGGTCGCACCATAGGATTTGGTTCAGAGAATCAAAAGTTAGAACCACATACGAAATAAATAGTACCATGTGAAAGTACTGCTGAAGAGATTTAATTTGAATGGTCGCACCATAGGATTTTGTCCACAGACGTAAAAGTGAGAACCACCTCACAAACGCCATCATCCACTCTGGCAGTGAAACGGTTAAAGTGCCGCCCCCAATTAAGTGTGGCCCTTGAATACTGTAATATTTCCTTGAATAATAGCTGTCCCTCGATTAATCGCCTTTACCCAAACTTATTTGATGGCAGTGTCATCAGTTAAGTGTTACAATGTACAGTACATGTACAATGTATGTGCTTTCATTCCTTTATTCTGTGCTTATTTCACTGAACTTTCCTGATGTTTTGTTCATTGGCAGGGTTATCTTAATGATCCAGTTAATCAGGGAATCATCCCCAGAATTGTGCAAGATATATTCAATTACATTTACAATATGGATGAAAATTTGGAGTTTCACATTAAGGTTTGTACTTTTTATAAGAACGTACACTGTGCTACTCTCATTGTTTTTTCTTCTTTGTATAAATAGTACACTAGTAGTAGAGAGGCCAGAAACAACTTAACGGTTTTAATGTTATGATTTTTGTTTCAATTAAACATTAATGTATTGGACTGGTAATATTCTTTTCTCATTTTAGGTTTCTTATTTTGAAATTTACCTTGACAAGATCAGGGATTTATTAGATGGTGAGATCTGTTTTATTTCCATGATATCAATTTGTCATTATTTTGCATTCAGTTTTCCACCTACTTTTATTTAAAGATGATGTGTACTGTACATACTCAGACTCGATTGTAGCTCGAAGAGGTGGTCTGTCAATCATTATTATAATTGGTCATTGATCAAAACCCTTAAGCGATGTGATGATTGGTTATGAAAACTGTCGAACAATGAAAAAATTATTGTTAACAAATGAAAATATCAAAACTTGTGTGTTTAAATGGACTCATAATGCAGCTATAATTTATTGGTGACCCTTTTCTCCTACTTTGTTTGCATTTGTTGTGTGCTGAAAACAGGGCACAGTGGCCATGCTTAATTTGAAAATGATCCACAGCAAAAAAAAACTCAAAAGATTTTAATGCTTTGACTTGACACAAGTGAGATTTTTTTTATCATAATCAGTGATTGGCTGGTTGTGTCTATCCAATGTTGTTTTTGATGAAAGCTACCTTCCGTTATTCTTTGGGAATTTTATTATTGTAGATATAAATTAATTTGCTGGTGTAACTCTATAATTCATAGGGTGAATATAGTCAGTGCACTTCCAGTTTTGGCACAAAATAGGTTCAGAAATGTTTTTGAGTTTAAAGGGGAAAGTTACCACATTTAAATGTGGAAGAATACATGCACGTTGTACTGTGAATAACAATGGAGACCTCACTATTCAAAACCAGAACTGATGGTGGGTAAGGGGGCAGAAGCAATAATCCTATTAATATTGTGCTTCATGCCACAGAAATCCTGTTTAGCTGCAGTTCATTGGCCCCATGGCTCATTTTTGCCTTTATCTTTTATCTTGCATCATTGCATCAGCAATTTTATTGACATTTTCATGTCTTTATTTTTTTTAGTGACAAAAACAAACCTAGCAGTCCATGAAGACAAGAATAGAGTTCCTTACGTAAAGGTAGGAAAAAGTGAAACAAGTTTTGTTGAACCATAAGGTTAAAATAGTAACTTCTATTTCTTTGGTTCTTTTCAAAAAGAATAGAGAAAAGAAAAAGGAAGAAGCAGAAAATACAAAGATTAATATTAGTTTTGTGGTTATACATGTGCAACAATTTATATAATCTGAGAAGTATAACTACTCATGACTAATGAAACCAATCAAACAAGATGTGACAATGTCTTGATTATCAATTTGAGTCCTAATTGTCACCATTCAAATAGATGACTGTCCTGCTTGTCGTTCATAAGTTTCTTATCAGTTGCCTTTAAGTAGCTCTGGAACACTTCTTTGGAAAGCTATTAATTTTTTTTTTTTCAGGGTGCAAGTGAAAGATTTGTCTCCAGCCCTGAAGAAGTCATGGAGATCATTGATGAAGGGAAAGCAAATCGCCATGTGGCAGTAACAAGTAAGTGGGTCTTATGTACTAAGATGGGAAAATAAATATCAACCATTTTTTAGAAGGAGGGGACAGTGGTGGAAAATCTGTGGTTGAGTTGGTGATTGTAAAGATGTAAAGAGAAAGCTCTCCAGAGCATGGCCTCTCTGAGATGATGATAGGTAATTAAATTACCTATCATCATCTCAGAGAAGAGTAGAGAAGATCATAAAATAATTGCTGTACATAACAATGGCCTTTTGGCTCTTAAAGTACCTATTCGCCACTAAATGTGATCTTGTCGTTTTATCCTGCTCCAGATATGAATGAGCACAGTTCAAGAAGCCACAGCATTTTTCTCCTCCACATTAAACAAGAAAATGTGGAGACAAACAAGAAACTGAGTGGAAAACTTTATTTGGTGGACTTAGCGGGGTCTGAAAAGGTACTAAAAAATATTCACAAAGTAATAGACACGAGTGATGCAACTTGCTGCGTGGTAAACATTGTATAAGCTTGCAAGTAGTAAAAATAGGGATCGTTGGCTGGGTGCCCTGCGATCAGAGGTTTTTTTCTGGCATGGCTTTAACGTTTTCAAAGTCATTCACATAGCTTGCCACCATGTGACTTCCAAACAGTTGCCAAAAATTAGCACTTAATAAATTGCTTAATGCAGCTGGGCCATGGAGCTTTTACTTTAGTTTTACAAAATTAAAAGCTAGTATGTTAAGTTGGGTTATGACAGGTTATGCTGTTTGTATTTGTACATGATTGGTAAAATTTTATGTTTTAGTGAATCATCGTAATCTGTTGCTTATGGACATCAATGACATTAATTCACTGCCATAATAAAAATATCACAAATATGTGGATAAAGGACTGTCCTAGTGACCCCTTAAATAGCTACTAATTTTAAGTGCTGATGACTGGTGCACTGTTCCAGGCCCAAATGCAGTGTAAATGTTGCTTGTCCACATGTAATATTTTATGTGAATAAGACAAGTTTAAATTTTAACTTTCTGGTATTGCTTTGTCTTTAACAGGTCAGCAAAACTGGAGCTGAAGGTGCCGTCCTTGATGAAGCAAAGAATATCAACAAGTCATTGTCTGCTCTGGGAAATGTCATTTCAGCTTTAGCAGAAGGAACGGTATGTTTTCCTGGGAAAAAATATATAATTATACAGTGTAACTGATGGAAGGTACATGTATTTGCCTTTATGTTAAAAAACAAGTACAGTTTACTCTTAATGCAAACACAATTGATCAAGTGTGAGTTCAAGAAGGTTGGATACTGGCCAAGTTCCAATCTTCTGGTTTAATATGAAGTCATGGTCCCAGTTGGAAGCGATACTTTAGGAATTTTTGTGGATTTGCTGCTGGGATCCCAGAAACCTTAGCCTTTACCAGACCAAGTTCAGCTCAACTTTGCTTTCCTCTACTAGCTGACATCACCATCAAAATCCCTCTCTATCCTAAGAGTCACTATTTTCGTCAAACTTCTGAGGTTGATGCTTTCTTAGCTATTAAAATGAGTTGCGGTTATAATTTGCCAATTTCATTTTTTAAGCGTGTCAATTCCCAGCTTCCCCTGTCTAGACTTAAATTATCAATGAATTGATCAGTTACCTGGAAAAATAATGAATACCCAGTTCTAGACCTTAGACCCAAACTCTCTGATTTTTTATACCCTATTCCAGTCTATTGCTTGAAAACCATAGTAATACCCTTCACAGTGGCACATACTGTACCTAATATATAGACCATAATTATATGGCAGTACCCCTCCCAGGGTCACGGCCCATAAAATGCAAAAAAAAAAATGGATTGAGACCAATATCCAGCCATCTACCCACCTACCCCTCCCCTAAGCCAACATTATGCCCTAAGTGAGAAGTAAGTGTTGATGTTGGCTTAGGGTGGGGGGGGGGGGGTGTAAGTGGGCATTTCCCAGAAACGTATAATGATCCGTATGGGATGTCCAAATAACGTTTTTCTTGCAAGAGCAAAGCTTTTCCTGCTGGCTTAGGAAGCCAATCAGAACACAGAATTTGCTTAATTTTTCCCCTGATTGTGTGAAGAACAATGAACCTAATAATCAACCTCATTATTTTAACAGAAAACCCATGTGCCCTACAGAGACAGCAAAATGACAAGAATATTGCAAGAAAGTTTGGGTAAGTAATAAACCCACCTACCCCTCCCCTAAGCCAACATTAACACTTACTTCTCCCTTAGGGCAAAATGTTGGCTTAGGGGAGGGGAAGGAAGGCAGTATGATCCATAATAACTTGTAGTGATAACAGACTTTGAAGAAGTGGTGAACTACACTGTATGGGAGATGACATCATCAGCGGATCTGTAGTTCAAGAAAGTTGTATTATTGCAACCGTAGAGCTTCAAAATTACATCAATATAAAATTATTATTAGTGCTATAACAGTTCAGTGTTGTAATTTTATTAAAGTCTTTTCAAAATGGTGAATTACTATTCAGCAATTTAAGCTATGATTAACGTTAATATAAATATGATAGTCGTGGAATTTGACCTTCAATTCCTCTTTGTGGTCAGCGACAAATTTTTCCGTAAAATATCACACAGGTCAGGAGAAGAAGAAAAATGATCAGCTCAAAAGAATCTTGATTGTCAGGGGCTGATCCCCCCGGTTTGACCGTTTTACTGAAAACAATCAGAGGAAATGACACCTCCTTTTTGAGGGGAGGGGGAACACGCCCTAGCCCCCCGCCCCCCTAAAAAAAATTAACATAAATAGCGATTTTGAAACAGTTTCTCCTTATTAGGACCACAAGAAATTTATGGCCAACATTTTGGAAAATATGCATCCTGATGTTAGAGCTTTTTGGTTAAATTCTATTATTTTTCAATACAGGTGGAAACGCAAGAACAACCATTATAATCTGTTGCTCTCCATCATCGTTTAACGAAGCGGAAACACGATCCACCCTCATGTTTGGTCAAAGGTAATGTTGAGAGAAATTCACAGATGCAGTAGATACAATTCAACTGTCTACAGATCGATATTAACTGCCCGTGGCTAAATTGATCTTCATCTATGATTTCTTCAACCTTGGAACTTCAAAAACTAATAGAGTGTAGTCCATATTTCCCTGAGAGAGAGCCGAAGCAGTTATTACTTTGCGCAGGTAGCTAAAAACCCTGGGACCCCAAGCAAGACTAAGGTTAACAAATTTGTATTGCCAAGCTGCAGAGAAATCTTCAATTAGCCTGTGTGCAGGCGCTGGTTAGTTTATTGGTTAGTTGTTATAAAGCGCGCGAGGGTTACACGCGCGCGCATCCTCGAAATTTCTCCCCTTTGCCATATTAGTGATCAGCAGCTCTTCAGAACTCTACAGGGTACACAGAGCAGTTCTAAAATCAATGTTCCTCAGGCTTTGATACTGTCAATCTCTCTCACCGAGTCGAAGAAAGTTCTTGGAAAGTTTTAGATTGTCCTCCTTTATTTTGAGGTTTGAGGTTTTTGTGATGATTTATTGTTATATTTTGCCTTTAACTAACACAACCTGCAATCTTTAGAGCCAAGACCATTAAGAACGTCGTGGTTGTTAATGAAGAGCTTACTGCGGAAGAATGGAAACGGCGCTTTGAGAAGGAGAAAGAGAAAGTGGGCAAACTTCGTGGAGCGATCGGCAAATATGAACAAGAATTACAGCGTTGGCGAGCAGGTATGACATTTCTGAGGTACAGAGTTGCAAGACAGGGCTGATTGGTGGGTGGGGCACTCCCAGGGAATTATCTTGGTTATTTGAGGGGTACAAGCTCCCCGCCCCCCAAATGTCCAGCTTCCCCCTAAAAAATGTTGTTATCATTACAGTATATAGGTAACTCATCGGAAAAATCAGCCAGACGCGACGAGGTCAGTGCACATACTGGAACGTTTCTCATAATTGTGTCTCAAAATGTATCAGATTGCATCTCACCGCATACTCATTTGAAAAAATTTCCGGGGAAACAAGTATTCCCCCCCCCCTCCCAGGAAGCTCCTGGCCTTCGGCCACTCGGGACTTCTCCCCCTCGGGACTTCTCCCCCCAAACGATAAATCCTAGATAGAACCCTGACTCCGGGTGCCTGTGTGCACACAATTACTCTTAGTTCTGCGTTACTGCGCACACATTGCAAAATGGCGTCCAACAAGGTAAAACAGGTTTATTAGGAGTGCACAGTTAAATATCGAGTACCCAAGGTGTGAACACTACACCATTCTGTGCCGGTACCCGGGCACTGAGTCCTCGGGCATGAAATTTGTTCATCCCAGGGGCTCTTCTGTTGTAACTTTTAGTAGTCCCTCAGGTTTGTCGTGCGGGAGACCACGTTACTTGCGAGCGAGGGAGGTAAACGTGCGAGGGCGGAGACGTCTTCTTCTTGCTCGCACGTAATATGCTGTCCCGCGCGACAATCCTGAGGAAGAAGTAGTAGTCTTTTCTTTTACTCCTCTCGTAAACTTTCCCCAGAACGTTAAAGACGGCTCGACACAAGCCAGCGTAGCTAGCGGTTTGTTTGGTGAGAGGGAAAAACTCGCGGCTTCGCAATGCGCTTGACGAACACAGCTTGACACAAACTGAAGATAACTCACTATATTTCCCAACGCTGTCCAATGTACTGAATAGATTTCCTTCCGTAATTTCTGCTTTTTCCCCAGGTGAATCAGTTCCCGAGATTGAACAGATGACCAATGCTAAAGACAACCGACATTCCCAGGTGTTTGAGAGTCTTGCTTTGTTAGCTCCAACACAACCTGCCGTGAGCGACAAGGAAAGGAAGAAATTCGAAGATGAAAAATCAAAACTTTACACTCAGCTAGATGAGAAGGTAAGGATAAATTATGATGCTTAAAATAGTTGCTACTGGTAGGTGCGGCTTTGTGGTGTAGAGATCAGGAATAGCATTTGATTTCTTTGCTTTGACGTTCCATAATGAGTTCACAGGAATGAGGGTGTAAGGGTATCATTTATTTTCTCACAATGTACTTGTCAGAAAGCCGAATAGGGCCCTAACAGGCCCTTGACAATACAGAAGTTCATAACCCATAAGCGCCTTTCAACTTGTCTCCGTGCGTTCAAATCGACTATGAGTTTAGAAGTGTTGCCTTTGAAGAAAAGGAAAAACTGGTGTACCTGGCGCGGAGAAAAACCTCTCGGAATAAGATAAGAAACTCGATCCGCAGAGGAACGCCGGGCCGAATCAAACCTGGGTTCCTTTGCTGGGACACGAGCGCCGGAGTGCTTTCACCTCTCCGTCATCCTTGCCCCACAACAGCAGAGGCGACCACGACATCGACGGCGACAGTATAGCAACGGGAGCATCTAAAGCGTCATTATAGGTTTAATGAAACCTTGTCTTTTTACTCGACTTAGATACGGTCCTTAAAAGTTGAACTCCAGAAAGATTCTCTAGCATTTGACAAAGTAGAACGAAATGGAATAATACTGTAGCGAATGAGCTTTGAAATACCGCGAATTCACTTTTTTTAGGTGACGTTTATGCTGCCGTCCCTCTTGCCGTCGTGGTTGCTTAAACTCCTTGACATTTTGTGGATCAATAACCGTTATAGTCTGAAAGCTTGTTTTCGTTTGCGAGTGGCGAGCCGGAAGCGAGCCGTTCCTCGCTCGCCTGCAGCTCACGCTTGGCGTCTCACGATATTTCCCTAACGTAACGCTTGCTCGCAGGCTTTAACCGTCAGCAGAAGGTTAACTGAAGGGCGGGTCTAAGATACAGGTCACTTTTCCGCAGGTTAGAGTACAGGTCACCTCGATAGTGGCCAATGAACAGCATCAAAACTGTCTCCTGGCCCTAATCTTTTAACAAAATGCTCTATTAGATCGATGGGAATTTGTGTGGTTTGGTAATTTATCGATGGAGCAGTGACCTGTGGAATGTGACCTGAACTTTAGACCCAGCAAATTCGGAATCTAGCTCTTGGAATCCGGAATCCAAAGCGTGGAATCCAGAATTTAAGATTACCTTACGTGGAACGACGAATCGTTTTCTTTATATTTCCATTTTCTTTCAAGGATGACGAAATTCAGAAGCAAGCGCGACTGATTAACCAGCTGAAAGAACAGCTGAGTGATCAAGAGGAGTCGCTGAAGTCCAGCCAAGTTGACACGGAGAGACTTCAGTCCCAGATCAACACCATGCAGAGCGAGAGCGAGACATCAAAAACAGAGGTGAAAGAAGTGCTCCAAGCCCTGGAAGAATTAGCTGTTAATTATGATCAAAAGCTACAGGAGGTGGAGACGAAGACAAAAGATAATGACAAGTTATCTGAAGAACTTTCACAGAAACAGGTGCAGTATACTTGACACATGGAATTTTTTTTTCATGTTAGCCTAAAATATCAGCGTAATTTTGCCTTAAATATAATGTTTGTCATGCATCCATTCATCAGTCATAACTGTAAGTTGAATAGTAATTATGATCTATCCATTTAAAACTGATTAAAATAAGACATTTGCAAAATGACGTCATATTAGCACTAAGACCAGAATCCTTCGGGGTTTTGCTTTCTTATGCAAATTAGGGCTTTTGTTATTTAAACTTCTCTGGTGTTACCAAATGAAGGAAAAACAACTGGCCTATTATGATATGTCACTCTAGGGGCTGCTTGCAAGTAAACGAGAGTCACTCGAGGACCGCAAAGATTGCGTGTGCAGACTCAGAATCACCATAGAAAAGCCGCGGTGCTCACTAGCTATCTAACTAGTTAGACTAAAACAAATAATTCATCTAGAGACTCGAATGTAAGCACTACCTTCATCACACTTTTTGTCTAGGGGTAGGGTGGGGTTGAGGGGTTTTAAAAAAAGGCAACACCTTGACTTGCGTCGCGGTTATTTGACGATGCTTTTTTCTTTATTTATTTAATCTAACAGGGACAGCTAAGCAAAGTGTCGAAAGAACTAGACGAGATAAGGGACTCCACATCAGCGCTAAGGAAAAGGCTGGCGGAAATGATGAACAGTTTGCTGTCCGACTTAGTAAGTGGTTTGAGTTATACAACAATTTACTTTCACTTCTCACAGAATTTGTTTAGCAACTGCATGGCTAAATAGAGGTTTGTGCCTGGAGTATGCCGGACGGTTTCACTTTTAACAGCCAGCCCCTACATTGAATAACATCCCCATAGCTGGCACAACGGCGCTACCCAGCCATTAGCCCCGACACAAAGCGAAACAAAAAGAGGTACCGATCGGACTGAAAAAGTATCAGTGGAGAAAGAACAACAGGGTAGGGAGGGAGAAAAACTGGTTGCGGAAAGAAACCACGTGACAGGAACAACGAAGCACGAAGAAAAGTCAACACGCCACTGAATCACGTGAAGAATGTAGTGAGCTACCGAGCATGCTCGTACCGACCGACGGCGGATCACTATCACTGAGGACGCTCTTTGTTGTTGACCTCTTAAAAATTGCATTTATACCAGACTCCAAAGTTAGAACTACATCCATGTCTATGTCACAGGTCAAATTTGATTTCAGGGTAACATATGTAGGTTGATTTTTAATTTCCTTCGGCTCCCTGCCCTTGGAGACAAAAGAATAGGTTAAATCAAGATAAGCGTGAAATCAAATTAGACCTGTAACATCTACATATTAAAGAGTGAACTATTCGGTTAAAAGATTATTTTTTACATTTTTAGGGTGAAATTGGAAATGTTATAGGAGGAAATGCAGCTGAGATAAAGGTAAAGTAAGGCCTAGGACAAACCTTGAACTTTCCATGAGACGAACCAAACTTAGTGAGTTGAGTTCGGATCAATTTAGGTTTCGATTTTCTTTTATGTAGGTGTTAAAAGCTTATATAGCTTTTTTTCTGTTTAAATGCAGAAACCAAATATCGATTGCAGTGGCAAATTAGATGAAGACTTTACAGTGGCTAGATTGTATGTGAATAAAATCAAGTCAGAGGTCAAGACCCTGTCCGTGGTAAGTGTTGAGAATCGGCAGTACTACACAGGAGAGCGTTTAGCAAGCAGGGACTTTAAGATCCAACGACGCGACGGCGACAAGAACGTCGCTTAAATAGTGAATTTGGGTTCTTTCAGTCTTTATAGCGATTATTCCTACCCACTTACTTTGTCAATTGTAGGCGAACCCTCCTGAAGCTGAATTTCAAGGGACCAAATTCAAGCTCAGAAAGAGAAATAAAATTTCGTCGTTGCTTGTTTACGTCCTCCATAAAACGCGAAATTAGGCATTTTCACGTCGTAGTCGTGCAAAAACGGGAAAGAAATGAACAAAAAAGTGTGATGCACGTGCGAAGTTGTTGTTTTGCTAATTAAACCAATTGTTTTTTTGACGTTCTCGTTGCCGTCCGCGTCGTTGGATCTTAAAGTCCCTAATGCATCCTGTCTACATCATTGTTTCGACATCGTTTCGAAAGGCTGCAACATTGCTCCAACATTTGAATCCTGTGTTGCGCTAAAAATCGTCGTTGCGAATCGTCTCGTGTAACGTCACATAGTAGTGCACGCGAGTGAACCATACTTTTTACGGGTTGTAAAATTTCACAGCGTCATTTTGGCGGGAAAATAAGGTCGACGTGGTCATTCTACTACGCGAGGTTTAGCGAGAGTGTCGTAGTGGCAGAAACAAATTATCGAATGTTAGAAGGTCTATCATTTTGCGATCGGGAGAGAGCTTAACCCTTTAACCCTAAGATCCAAATTTGAATTCTCATTTGTTGCCCCTATTCATTTCCTACAGAAGTAGTGGGGAGAAAATGATGAAATATCAAGCAAATTCATCTTGTGTGATCATGTCCATAATTCTCATGACCGCTCTGTTTAACACTCTTAGTGCTTAAAGGGTTAACCTCCTCTAATAAAGGCAGCAGTGCTAACTTTTCTGGTGAAAAAACGTACTATGATACACTTCGGGGTGTCTATTTTTTTTACAATACTCGAAAAAAAACTTCAAATCAAATCGCGTACTCGTATTCGTTCTCATCCTCGAATCTAAGGGGCCGACCATTTAACTCTTAAGGGGGGGGAGGGGGGGATTTTGAAAAAAAATTTCCTGCAAGCGCTTGTCGGAAGAAAAAAATTGCATGCAGCACAAATGTAATAAAGAGCTTATGGGAAAAAAAGGGGAAAAAATATCCTGCCCACCATATTGCTAGGAAAAAAATTCTTGATGACCAGAAATCACCCCCCAAGAGTTAAATGGTCGGCCCCTAAAGGTCTCTATTACCCCACTACTGTAAACGGTTTACATCTTGAAAAAAAAAACGTGTAATTTGGTTCAAGTTAAACTTCTGTGTTGCCAAAAAAAAAAATGGAATGAAACCAAAGACCTAACGCTTTGCTGGGTAGCTCTCTAGGATCTGAGCCAACCGTGCCTCAGTTAGAGTGACTGGGCACTCGAGGATTTCTTTACTTGTTTTGTGTTTATTTCTTTAGCGATTCATTAACCTGGAAATAGTGGAAAGTGATCTGAAGTCATCACTTGATGGAAAGAACAGAGAGCTGAACCAATCGCAGCTCCTTATATCACAGGTAATGTACATAAATCTATCAATTCGCTATAACGACTCGCTCGTTTCTTCCAACTTTTGGGTTATGTGCCTCACATAGTCTCTGTGTAATTTAATTTCCGTATACTCATTACTTCTGGTAAGTCATTTCTCATTAAACTTTGAAGTAGACAGCTAGGATGTAAAAGTAGGCGGCGGCTTAACAATAGAGTATTGTAGACAATTTCAGGCCTTCATTCCTTATTTTACTCCTTTTCCTCAAAAAGTACAGGGCCCAGTTGTTCGAAGGCAAATTAGCGCTAACCCAGGGTTAAATTTTTAACCCGGGTCTCTCTTTCTTTTCATCAAAAGCATTTTCTCGGACAATTTTTTCTATTCTTTTTAGAGTAGCCAATCATCAGATTGTTGACAAAAAGAATTGAACTGAATTTGCTTTTTAAGCTTTCAGATCTGAATTCAAATTTCAAACTAACCCTGGGTTATCTTTACCCAGCTTTGAACAACTCGGCCCAGGGCTCAAACCTTAAAGTAGCCGGTTATTTTAGCCGGTTGCCGGAAATTAATGAGAATAAATTTTTGCCCGTAGTTGGGTGTTACCTAGACTGCGAGTATTCCCCATTTTTCCTCAGGGATAGCAGAGCGAGCGAAACGCGAGCGCTCGTGAAAATCATGGCACCGCGTGGGGTGATTTTCAAGCGCGCTCGCGTTTCGCTTACTCTACTATCCCTGAAGAAAAATGGTGACTGCTCGTAGTCTACATGTTTCTTGGTGTTGCGAAAAGTATTGTTGAATAGCTATTGTGTTTTGGAGTGGGTACTGTTGAGTGTCTTTTCAATCTTTTTTTTTTTTGTTTCTACTGTTGATCACACCAGTACGAAACACCAATAATCTACGTCTCAGTATCTCTAGCTGTCCTAGTCGTTAGTAGGTTGATATCTTATCATGGCTTTGCATCAACCTGATATACTGTATGTGTGTTTCCATTATCGATATCTTGACGTTATTACGAGAAAAAATATGTGTTAATCTCATCTATACCCTCCAAATAAAATTTGAGCGGTAATCAGAGAACGTCCCTCATATAGTTTTCCTTAATACCCCTTCTCGCCACAAGTTTACTCGAACGAAATTTCCTTTCTCTTGATCAAAATTTCACTGTAATTTACCCCGATAACTCGAACTGTTTTTTGTTTCCCTTCAGAGTTCGAGTTACCGGGGTTCTACTCTAGTTACCTGGTAAATTATTTCGACATTAAGAAAGGAGGATTATGCGGCAGTCTTTCCATGGTTCCATGCGGCCATTTTTCGCGCTTCTTTGACGTTAAGTTAGCGTCCTTTTGTTTTTCAGCACGAAGCTAAGATGAAGACACTTGAGGCAGACATGAAGGAAATGGAATCAAAGAAGAGGATTTTAGAAGAAGCTGTTGACTCACTGAATGAAGAAATAGCAAAACTGAAAGCCAAGGGTACGTAATGTTGATCGCGTGTTAAAGCTAAAGAGATTTTTAAAACTTAAGTCTGCTTCTAACTCTTTGGAGGAAAGTTTTCCTTTGTAAGAATTAGGTCTTTTCATTGAGAATTAGCGGAGAATGAGTTGAGGTCTGCGAAGCGAGGACCACCTGAAACCTTGCTTTATTTTGTAGCTCAAATGCACGCCTTGGCGCTCAAAGACAAGGAAGAGGAACACGCCGGCTTGCTTCACGATGCGGGTAAAATGCAGGTATGGTCCTTTTGCTCTTAAAATATATTCTATTTTCCCAGGTACTGGCATATGTAGCCTCATGTTCATTTCATTCTTGCTGAAACGAACTTCAAGTTCCTAAATAAAGTTTTCATTTACGTACAGTATTCGAAACATAAGTTCCGTTAAAACAGACTTGAGCACAAAGAAAACCAAACCAAATATAGAAAAATGGTCAGAAACCCTCAGAGTCATGTTAGAATTTTGATATATCGAACGTGGGCGATTGTTTTGTTGGACGCGTTCTGGTATATTTTAACAGTATAAAAATATATTTAACAATTATTCGCCGAAGGCGAAGTTAAGATTGTTGAATAATCCCCGAGACGAAGTCGAGGGGATTATTCAACAATATTAACTTCGCCTTCGGCGAATAATTGTTTTAGTATATTCACACGAAGTGATCTCAACAGAATCAGAAAGGAAACCATTAAAAAACGATTAGTTTGATTGACAGGTGAATTCATGCGTGAACACGAAGCCGTAACTCGTGGATGCGCAAAAGTTAGATCTTTACAGTATCTTCAAACATGGCAAATGATAGTTTTAATCTTTTTGTTTCGAGTTTTGTAAGCTTTAGCATCAACAGTTTAAAAGAAATTTCCGAAAATTAAAATAACTACCCAATTCTGAGAAGAAAAGTAGAGCTTTATTTGTTTCTGTCAACTCACCGTGAATGAGAAAGTTTTCTTTGTCACTTCTTGCAAATGCTGTCAACAGCGGCTACGATCAAGGTGAGCGTTGTTTATCTCCAATGTTCTTTGCCTTGTTAACTTGCTGGAACGTACAATTTTCGGAAATATTTGCCTTCCTCTTTTCTCCATAAATTAACTTCCATTTTGTTCGGGAACATCCACATTCACAACATTCACAATAAGAGGACTGTATAATTTATTCCCAACTTTTCACCTTCGACGTACACGTTCTACAGTCAATGTACACTCAACAACAATATTCCACAATCTGCCCTTTCAACACGCGATACATATGATAAACAATGACTCTGTTATATGCCTCAGCTATAGATTATACAACTAAGCATTTATCTATCAATATTAATCATGTCATGCAGTCATTGATATCCGGTTTAATCCATCGCGTGCAAACTCTAACGGTAATTACAATTTCGTGTCATTTCCCTTAAAATCACGCAACGTAGTGCTCGTTGCGTTACAAAATGCGTACTATTTCCGACACATTTATAGGGAAAATTGGTCTTGCGAGAAAACCCCGAAATCACAAAACAGTGACAAAGCGACCTCGTTTTCCTCTGTAGTGGTAAACATAGCTTCGAGCGTACAAAAAGTCAACTACAGTAAACCACTTCACAATAAATCACGCTGTTTAAACACCATGAAGTCTTTTCTTGCCTTCAAAGTCATCAGCACTTGGATATTCGTGTATTTTCAAAAAGGCCTGACTATGAAACTTTGGCAAAACACCCAGTTCACGACAGCGATTTTGTTCGGCTTAGGCGGTGAATATAACGTCATAGTCCGAGATAGCTAACCAATCAGATCGCTTGAATTACCAAGATCGCTGAGTGTGTATATACTAAATGAAAATAGGCTCGATTTACAGCCGCTGTTCTTGAAATGAGCCCGCGCTCTTCCCCCGAACAGACAGTCTTTCCTTGGGGAGGACCGAGAGAGAGCGGCGGAAATTCCGGGTTCTCGGGCACATGCGATTTTGTTGGGTTTTTCCAATTCAAAAGCCTGCTTTTCGCTAGTAGCGTCGACAAAAGATGATGCCAATAAAGAAATGTGCTACGTACAAGCGAGACTAAAGCTGAAAATTTTCGAGTATTGTGGTATCAAACGAAAGGGACCTTTAACTTTAATCGTTCTCAAAGATCTTGCTAAACGCTCGATTTAGTGTCACGAGTGGGAAAACCTGCAAATGTCGTGAGAAAACTCTACAAACCAATTAGAAAGCGTGACTTGGACCAATCACGGGAATAAATTGCGAGCAGGCCCTTTGTTTTCCAAAACGCGCGAGATCGGAGATGCTATCGCCTTTTACTTTTCACTTCTAGAAGTCGCTTGCAACTCGTGCTAAAACGTAGCACGTCATTAACTTTAAACAAAAACAGACTGCTTGCAGTCCCCTTTAAACTAACAGTAGCTAACACCAGAGCTGCCCTCGCTGTAAAAGCCTTTGGAAATTCACCCTTGAATTGGAATATCCATTTCAGACCAGACGCGCTAATTCTTCAATGAACCAATTTTCTTGTCAATAACTGTCTACTAATTCGAAGATATTAATAAATATTGAAAGCTCCATTAAAGGCAAAGAGATTCAGAAAACAACGTCGGCAAAGTTGAAAGTTTGGCAGGTGATGTGAACTTAATAGACACGTCTAAAATTCTCCTCCTCGCATTTCAGCGATTTACAAAACTAATATGTTTACAGCAAGGCGTACCATTTTTCATCCTTTTGTCGATTCTTTTTGCTTTTATGGCCAAAACCTTTGATTAGAAAGAATTTTAACTAAGAGAATCAAACTCCATCGAACTTGTAACTTACAATTGTTTAAGAAATTAAATCTGATTCCGAAAATATCCTCGGAGGTTTTTTTAATTGTTTTTAAAAAATGGCTCAAACTCGTTGTTTACTCGTTGACACTATAGGAAGACTGATGGCTTATCTATGATCGATTACTTCGACTAGTGCGGGGACAGTTGATAATTAATGTGAAATATTGCACAAAAACTTGAGAACTCTCTTACTTTATAGTGAGACATAACAAAGGTTTAAAAAGGAATCTAAATGACAGATTTAAATTTAGTTTGAAGTAAAATTTCCTGTGTTTTACTTAAAGAAAATCCCCCTAAATTATTTTCATTATTTTGAAAATAGTTTTCCACCTCGCACTTTTATGCATAAATCGTTATTAATTTTTTTTAACTTGTTTTGAAAAGCATTTCATGCAAACGAGATGAAACAATTTTCCTTATTAATTGAAAGCTTTTCTACTTGAAACATTGAAACTAGTAAACGCTTCAGGGATAATGAGTTTGAGGCTTTTTATTTAACTGATATTACACGAACATCTCAAGTTCTATAGACAAATTTCAGTTAATGTCTTTTCTGAAGGACCTTTTTACCCTACGTATTTGAATTGCAAATTGTGTCGTATTTTATGAAGATTGAACTTTTAGGGCAAAAATACCAGTCAGAAATTGTCGTGTTTAAAGAAATGAAAAGCTCCAAGTGCGAATCTCCGATGAGAGAGCTTGGTTAGAAGGTTGCGTGATTTTTTGCTAACCATCATGGGCAAACGTATTTGTTATTCTGCCATGGGATTCACAAACGACAAGTGTGGTTTGCGATTGGGTTCAGATTGTAGTGAGTCGTCAATTGAGGATATTCTAGATTCGTTAAACGATGCTATAGACGACATCTTGCGGAATGCTATGCCACGGGTCAGTACCTTAAACTTACTTATTTGCAAATGTTGCCCTGTTTTGCCCTTGTCTCCTTGTAAGTCAACTTTGTGTTTTTGAAAGGCAATTGGCGAAAATCTAATTCATTCACCTTTCTTGTTCTACAATACAAAGCCTGGACTAAAAAGACGAAAATTGGCACTCAATAATCAGTACGTACCGGCAATTACTTTATTTTTCTCGTGGAAAACGTTTGCTAGAAAAAAGTTCTTTTAAAAAATTTTGATCCTTACATCAAGTGAAAATATTACTCAATAATTTATCAAAACAGAACACTTTTTTCCTTGACCGAAGTACCCTTCCACGCTAATTTTGTGGTTGTCTATGACTTGTTCCATTTAAGGGGATGTGGTTCCCTTTGCTTAAAGCTGCGTTACTTAGCAGAAATTTTCTTTAAAAAAAACTTTTCTCAGAGCAGAGGCAAAAAAGATTGTTTTTGTTTTCGCCAATGTGTTATGTTTACGTTTCAATTTGCATGTCAGTTTAAAGATGCGAGGATTATTTATAACTTAGGTTTTTATGAAAAAATAATCAGTATACGTCTAATGTTAAAGGACCAGACACTATTGGCGATTTTTGTAATTTTTTGTCAAGATAGCTACTCGAAATTCAATTAAAATTCGTTTTATTTCTGAATTAATATTCGTTAGGAATGTTTTTTCTAGGATTGCAATTTGCATTTTTACCACCACTGTGAAAATGAACCTTATGAAAACTGAACGGAAATTGCATTATGAGAATGTGTGTTTATTCGATCTTCTTTGAGATTAATATTCTTTGGTTCATGTTTGTTGTGCCTTTGTCGACAATTATAGTCCCTATTTTCTCACTGTACTCCCCTAATTAAAGTCTTCAAATGCTTCTTCTCTTTTTCAAATGGTTTTTGTGGGTGAAAAATCACTAAAATGGACTTTTAGCTGAAGTAGTCCAATGAAGTACATTGTTAAGGGTTTTGAATCACTTTCGTTCTTATGGACATGAAAAGTTCATTAACTAATTCAGCGATAGAGTAAAGGCCATCGAAACGTGCCGAATAGCCTGTTCCCTCCCCTTCTTCACTCGTGGTAATCGCGTCCTCGCGAGGATGTCGCGTTCTCGAGCACTCGGTTTCTTTCTTCTGTTTTGCACTTGCTTACGTCAGTTGAAATACTCATCTCATTCCTTAGTCCGTTTTTTTTTTGTGTCGTTTCAATTTCAATAAGTTATTTGAATAATTGCGTCCCGAAATTTAGCCAAATACAGGCCACCAAATGATCGAAGTGTAAAAGCAACTACTTAAAACTTTGAAGGAAATTTAACCAACACAGCAATACAAAAGAAGGTTTATATCTCGATATGTTAAAAACCGCCTGACTGCAGGTTCCGTGCAGTGCTTGTTTTACGCGGTAAATTTCATAGCCACTTAATATTAAACTCTTAATGACTGGTCGCGAGGGAAACAGTTAAGTTTGTTTCCAGAATCTCAATGTTTCCCACAGCTCCGCCTCGGGAAACATTGAGATTCGAGGGGAACAAATTGACTGTTTCCCAAGGGACCAGTCTTTAAGTGATTTGTTATATAGCTGGAAATTTTGAAGCTCGGAATTCATTAAACTTCGCTGTAACGGCGCTCGTCGGTCAACGTTCGCTGGTAACAGTGCACTGTTACACTCTGACGTCATGGATTTTGCAATGTTGCCCGCTCAGATATTTCGGCGGGAAACAGTTTCATTATTAGATGTCATGTGACCTCGAAGTAACCAATGAGAGCGCGCACTGTTGGCAAAAAAACTCCCAGGGTGGTTTCCGGTTTTCCTTGAGCTTACCGGTTTTCCCTTTCAAATACGCCCCCTCCCTCTAACACCCCCCCTTTTTTTTTTCAGGTGAATAAAGTTAATAAACCCCTCTTTCTAATAAGCACTTCCCCTCTCCTCCCCTAATTATTCTTCACTAATAAATGATAGAGTTTATTAATCGTGTGGACAGATCCGGGATGGTTTATTTACCAACTGGAAGTTCGGGTTTGTTTCTGATCCTCGGCTGCATGAACTCCAACCTTCTCGTACATGAGCTTTTCCACTTGGTATTCTAGTTCTTTATGGAGAACTGATACCATCGTCTTTTCTAAATTAAATAAGTCCCCCTCTCAAGAAGCTCCCCTTCTCTATTAAGCCCACCCCCCCTCCCTCAAATGATCTTGAAATGAATGAAGGGGCTTAATAGAGGATTTACTGTATGCTGTTTCCTTGGTTTTGTCCCACGATAAATTTATCCCTGATAGAAGCGATCAAATTTCTTTAAGGCGCAGTATAAAAGCAACCAATGTGTATGATATCGTAAGAAGAAATTAATTGTTGTTCACTCGCATTTCTTGCAGTCTGCACTAGAGAAGCAAATGATCAGCCACAGAGAGGCCCACCAGAAACAACTTTCAGCTCTTAGAGACGAAATTGAATCACAGCATGCTGTTATTGCGTCCATGAAGGAGTAAGATTGTCCCAAATAACCTTTTCATATTTACACTGTTGTTTTTGTAATAGCATGCGAATTCGCTTCCCGCCGTTGGGACGTTTTGCTAAACTTTCTCAAAGGCGGGTAAGCCATTTAATTTTATTTTGATAAGAACACAACATCAGTTTATCTGATCGTGTGAGCTAGCTTTTCTCAGGACCATAATTGAGTGATTGGATGCAAATTTGCCTAGTCCTTGGGCCTCATTATTGCGCTCGACCGATGCATTTCAGGTCACGTGGTCCGAGATACATCACCGAAATGCATTACAAATGATGTCAGTTATGGGGACCTTTGCTTGACATCTGGATTAACGAACTTTCAAAGAAGCTTTTTTTTTCCTACTCACTAGTGTATCCCTGTTTACAGTATGGAGCATGTAGCTGGGAAAAAATATATTTTACACGATTGAGAAAAGTATCAGTGGAAAGGTTACGAGAATAAATAGAAAGAGAACCAGGGAGTAAATTCTTTGATCTTTTAACAAATTTTCTCTATGGAGATTGGTGTGGAGAATATGTTAGGAAAAACCTTCATGTTGGTGTTAACAGGGTGTCCTCACTTTGTAAGCGACATTTTGATATCTCTGCAGTGATATTTCATAACTTAAGAATTTTTTTTCCTGTTAACCCAACATTCTTTTTTTCTCTTTAGAACCAATCAGAAGCAAGCTTTAGAGAGGGACCACCTCATGGTTAGTGCTTCATGTTATTATGTCATTTAGTATCCATAGACGAAAGCATTCAATATTTTGCTGTCTATCTTTTTTTATGTGCTAAGATTAGTTTGCTATGATAATGCGCTTTTTTGGTTTGAGATCATGTTCTTACATTTCAATTCGTTTTCTTTGTTCAGATGGAGAATCAGGCCCTCAAGAGGGAACTTGAGGAGAAATCAGTCAGATTGGCTGACTTGAAGTAAGTCATTTCATTTCTCTTTTGTCCGACTTCATTTTCGACTGTGGTAAAATACTTTTTATCTCATTATGAATTAAATGACTCGACAGAGATGCCTTTATCGTATTTGTCTACGCGTTGACATTGTTACTCGCTAGTATAACAATTTCGTCTTATCCTGTTTATATATATATATTTTTTTCGTTTAGTGTACAAGCTGAGAAGAGAGAGCAAGCAAAGAAGGATCTGAAAGGCCTTGAAGAGACTGTCGTATGTATCTCAATGCCTGTAATAGTTTGCTGTCAATACCACTCCCTTGCGGCTCGTGCGGCTCGTGCGGCTCGTGCGTCTGTTAGTTCCAGTTGAACTTTGAACATTTGGATGCCGACATTTCAATGTTCCACAAGAGTGTGGACAATGGCAATAGTGGTCGATTTGTTAAACAGTGTCCCTAACGATTTCTATTATCTTTTTCTTGCACTTTCTACGAAAATCCAGTTCCAAATTCACTAGCAGAACCACTGTTCTCCGACACTTTCACTGCTGCAAGTGGGCTTAACTAATAACTTGATTACTAAATTAGGAGACAGCTGACATCTCTAGGGTGCTTGCTTTATTTCATTTTCTCACACAAAAGTAGTCACTATATTTCTTTCTTAACTTAGAGGATTTTTGTGATTTTAATTTCAGCATAAAGAACTCGCGACACTCTACCGACTTCGGCAGTTGTTTGTCAAAGATTTACAAGCTCGTTTAAAAGTGGTAAGTTACATTTATCGTTTGTCATCCTTGACAGCATCAGACGAATTCACTTCCCGTTTTCCACAGACTGGTTTTCTATAAGAGAATGTTCATAGCTTCTACCTTTTTCTTTCTTCAACTTTGTCCAAACGACTGCTTTAAGAGCCTGTTCATAAGAGCTCAGTTATCAAATGTTATAAATTTTATTATTTTGCGCTCAGTAGAGGGATTAATTAACCTCGTTCAATAAAAATAACCGTGCTAACGTTTCGGGTGAAGAGGGTGTCTTTTTTTTTTAGAATACAAGAAAAAAACTTAAAGCTAAATCTCTTCCTCGCAGTCGTCCTCGTCCTTGAATCTAAAGATTTGTAACAAAATTACCCGACAACGATCGCCTTTGTATGCATTTACAAGTTTTAACAGTTGTGTGGAAACAAAGATAGGAACGGCGGTGAAATTTCCTCCGCACGCGCGTGCACAAGCTCGACACGCGTGTTGTCTCTTGTAAACACGTAATTAATTGACTTTCTTTCTGTTTGTGTGTTTGTTTTTCCAGACCAATGTGGACACTGACACAGAAGAGGAAGGAGGGAGCCAAGCACAAAAACAAAAGATTGCTTTTTTAGAGAATAATTTGGACCAGCTAACGAAGGTCCATAAACAAGTAAGTGGTTTTAAATTATATCTTAAGTTTTTGCTGTTCCGATTTCAGTTGAGATAGTTCTTTTCAAATTTTGTAAAAATTATACTTAAAGTCCTTTTCAAATTATTGTCTCCACTTGTTGAAAGTGCTGCAATCTGAATGTCGGTGTATGTCTTAGTTTTGTTTTAGTTTTAACTTCCGTCCAGTTTTTGTTATTGTTTTATTGAATTGATATGGAAATCTCTCAAGTGCTAAATGCAGGACTAATTTTTCTACCTGACAAAATCGTGTAAATTTCTCTGATGCTATCCCGGGACCTCCTTAGTGAATGAATTTTTCAATAATATGATAGAGTTGACTTAAAACAGAAAAAGAAAGTAGAAAACTCCCACCAAATTCACTCTACCATTCAATTGTAATTCGCTGCATATACTTACTGTTTTAAAAATCGAAAACGACCTGCAAAACGAAAACATGTAGGAGATAATCTGGTCTCGTTTGGACAGTGAACTCTATCTATTCACAAATTATTTGACAACCGGCTTTAAAAATGCGACAAGTTCAGATGCCTGGGCTTTTTAAAAATTGCTTTAGCTCATACTTGCCGTTTTGCACTAAAAAGTTCTCAGTAAATCAACAAGACTATCGCGTAAATTTGAAAATAGGAAAAAACGGAAAGAAACCGTTTTTTTTTTTGTCAAGCGACTGTTTTACATTGGCTATTTATCCTTACTTAATATTACACTCTTACAATTGTACCTTGTTTTGATATTATACAAGGTAAACAAAGAAATAATATAGATGTTGCTTCGCGTGGTCCCAGGAGTGCCCGACGCAACTACATGCAGAGCGAAAATATAAGTTTTCAGAGAATAACAAACAGTTAAAGGAATTTCACGCACGAAGCGATTCAGACTAGTCCGATGATCGCTCAGTGTGTGAAACTCGAGTAACTGTCTTATTTCCTTTCTCAAAATTTGTATATAGTAAAAAGGTTTTAATCGCATAAATGTTTTATTCCAAACAGCTACAGGCGTTGAAGAAAGGGAAGCTTTTGAAGCAACAAATCAACGTTCTCTCACTTGCATATTAGTTATTATGGGAAATTATTTTGATATTTTCTCTTTCCTTTTTTTTGGTAATTTTGGTTTTACGAAAATGCTCTATCTAAGAATTTCTAAGAGAGAAATCCATTGTCTTCTCTTTGCTGGGGTCACATTTAAGTCTTTTTATTGGTTGTCTACGTCTTTGTGTGGAGATTTTATGTAGGAAAGAGTGCAACATCAATTAATCTTACCTTCGAGTGACAATACGGATTGTTTTTGTAACAATATGTTGAGAGTTAATACTTACATTTTCCAGTGTAATTGAATTAGAGAGTTGTATTGGATGGGTTAAAGACGTTCCAGTATATTCCCATTTTGGTATTAAAATATAGAAATTCAGGTGGACTTTTAAAAACCTCTAAATATAAGCTGTACCACGAACGGTGGGCGAAAATTAGCTTTCAAGAATATTTAAATGAATTTTTTAAACATGGATTTTGTATTTAACTGAATATGGGTTGTAAGTTGTTAATAAAATGAAGTTTCATATCACTGAGTGAAATTTTTCCCTGGACGAGAAAAAAAACCGAGAACACCCTTAGAGAAAGTTAATGGCAGAAACACCTTTTTATAGTTTTTGGTTGAAAGTACCAGCTTTCTCGATGTCTTTTTAGTCTAAATTAAGAATGTTTTCTTAAATGTATTCTTTAAAACATGCGATTAGCGAAATTTCACTTCTGAGTCTAAGTTAAAAGAACCCTTTGCGTGAATGAAAAGCTACTAGGTTCAGTGTAGCGCAACCGAATTTCAAATTTTTGAGAAAACTGGTGCAGCACAAAGTTTTTATATAGAATCAATATTGATCACGTACCTGAGTTAATGTTGTTAACAGTATTGGACTGATGCTATCGTAATCCCCTTCTTGCAGTCCGTGTGGCGACTCAGTGGTAATTAAGATAAGTGCCTTGCCTTCTGTTTTGATTTTAATCCGTTTAATTGTTTTTCTGTTTCACAGCTCGTTAGAGATAATGCCGACCTTAGGTGTGAACTGCCCAAGCTAGAGAAGCGCCTGCGAGCAACGCAAGAGCGGGTGAAAGCATTGGAGCAGGCGCTGAAGGAGGCTAAGGAAGGAGCGCAGAGGGACCGGGCACGATACCAGAAGGAAGTAGAACGAATCAGAGAGTCTATGAGACAGAAGCAAGTAGCGGCTAGAAAAGGCGCTCAGGGACATATAGGTAACAAGCAGATGAAAACATTGTTTTTTATCGTCTTAGGATGTTTTCAGTTCTTGTTAGTCTGGGTTACAATGGTGCTTTAAATGTTCACACGTAAAAACCTTTGGCAAACTTAGAACCACCTCGTCCAGAATACTGTATATCCCTTTTTGAAGAAACTGCTCAGTAATTTTCTTTTAAATGGTCATTGTTTAGGTTTATCCACAAGGTCTAGTCTAAAATGTCGCCCGTCTCTTCACCCCACCCCCCAACGGGCGGCAAGTCTCTCTTGCCTTGCTGCCCGTAGAGGGCGGGGTTGGGCGAAGAGAAGGATGACATTTCAGACTACCACAAGGTCACGATTTACTGTCGTCTTTTACAGCATAAGAAACAATTCCATTGGAAAGTAATACTCAGTAGCTTTCATTTGCATTCTCCCGTTTTAGGATTTCACACCCAGACTTCAGTGTTAGATTTGACTTGTACATCAGCATACATCATAAACAGACAATACTACTTAGTAGCTCTCATTTATGAAAAGCTTTACCCCTCATGCATGCTTAACATTTAGAACACCATGGTCGACTAAAACAGCTCAGTCTACCTGAAAGTACCTCTCATTTCATTTCAACGGTCACATTATGGCTCCTGGGGGCCGTTTCTCGAAAGTCCCGATAATTAACGGGCTCGGTAAGCTGTTCCCGTTTACATTAAAGATCGAGGTTTCAATAGTTTTGCATGTAACATGATAAAACTATCAGTTAAAGAAACAAAATGGAGTAGTTTGCTAGCCGGGACCCGTGCTCTTATTTTTTATATTTCGATTTGAATATTTGATTTCGGGCCCGAAAAGTTACCGGGACGTTCGAGGAACGGGCCCCTGGTCGCGTTATTAAGAGGCGTCATCCTTACAAGTCGAAACTGTATTCTTGGTTTACAACTACATGACAAGGTGTCATGTTAGAGGTCAAGACAACGCAATGTCTTTTTGGGGGGGGGGAGAGGGGGCAGGGGAAACGCTTTTGTTCTAATCACCAACATTGTAGTCTTCTTCGTAACTGCTAATTGTGTAATCACGCAACGATCCTCCTCACTGGGGAAAGCGTCACGCAACGATGCGCGACGACACAAAAAACCCGACTGCATAGGAGACTACCAACATGGCTGCCGTGGGGTCAGCTGCAAAGCAGCGATTGAAACAATCCATCGTATTTCACTTTTTTATACATAGTATAATTTCGTATTTTTATGTTCCAGCGAAACCCATTCGTCCTGGACAGCAACCCACGTCTCCTAACGTCCGTCCCGGAAGCAGTCCCGGCATTGGTAGCGCCTTATTAGGAATGACACGTCTGGCTGGCGGAACAGTCATGGGCTCTAACGTTCCCAGCAGTCCAAGCACGCCGAGCCTACCCAGTTCCCCAAATGGCGCCACTATTGTGACGCCGGTTATTCGTGGCGGGAAAGGCTCGGAACCGGTTGTCACCTACAGTAAGAGGATACGAAATGCAGTCAGTACGGAGTCGCTTAATCGTCCATTACCTCAGGGGAGCCCTAGGTATGACTTTGTTGCTTACATATTAGATTTTTAGGCCATTTGCATGATGACGTTATGTTGCTACTACTGCTAGCAGAATGGATTGCCAAGTTTAAATATGAAAGGAAAAATGATATGGAGTCTGTCACTTGTAGTGGTAAGATGAAGCCATCGTGCAAATTGCCAATTAACGAGCTTTAGTAGCGACAAAACCGACAGCAGCGAAAACGTCGGAATTCGCCTTATTCAAACTTTGTCAAGTTTAAACCATCTCGCCAAGAATGTCAAATGTAGTTGTATTTGCCTGGAGTTACGTTTTTGAAGACCGCAATCCAAATGTAAAAAGAGAGAGAAGATTCATCTTTGAGTGGTTTACTTCCTCCATAAAACATCGCACAAGAAAATTTCACATCGTAGTCGTGAAAGTCGGTTACACGTACGACATTGTTTATGTTGAGCTCACTAAGACAATCTGCTCTTTTCAAGTTCTCGTCGCCCTCGCCGTCGTAGTCGTCGCCGTGGCTAAAGCTCCATATTTTTGCGTACTCAAAATAATAAACTATTATGAATCCTGAACTAACTAGTTTATTACCCAAGACACCATTAAATTCTTAGCTAGAAGAAAGCGTCGCAATACTCTGTTGAAATACCGAAAAAAACTTAAAACCTTTCGAGGTGGGGAAGGTGAAAGGGAAACGGAGCTCGCTACAAGAAGAACTAATCAAAGAAATAATCGCCCACAGCCATCATTAAGTTAACTATGAACAGTTTCCAATTAACTATTAAGAAATCTCCCGAACGCGGTGAAAAACGTTTTATTGACATTTTGAGGTCGCGTGTGTGTTTGGGTAGGGGCTGTGCCGAATTGCACCATGGGACTGTTTCGTAGACGATATTGGTTATTATGAGGTTGCGCGGGAAACTGGTTCAAACTGATGCGTCCCCCAAAACAGTCCCATAGACAATTCGATACGACACCGAATCAGTCCTCCTTCAAATGACCAATACGCTGTTTCTTCGTGCAAAGTTGTGATCATATAGTTTAAGGGTTTTCTGTCTTCGCACCGTCGCTTTTGAATGAAATACCGAAAAATACTCGAATGTACTTTTCCTGATTTTGCGCTCTTTGAGATGTAGATTATCTTACTTCAGTGCGAATTTGCTCATTTTAGTCTGTTTTATTGAACAGTTGACGGATAAATGAGTCTGGCGCAACAAGATTATTGTTCTTTTCCTCATTATCATTATTAAAGTGATTAGAATCATGTTTACGGCAAACGGTAAACGTTAACCTGTACCACGTCGCCAAGTTTTCACTAGTCCATTACCGGTTATTATATCTACACAGGAATAAATAGTTTCATTCCCGGATTATATATAAGAATAATTTTAGATAGTTTTTATTTGTTTATCTCTCCTCTGCATTTTGAGAAATTGGCAACTTGAATCTCACCTTCTTGTTTTGCTGGAAACGTGATTTTAAGCTTTCTATAATTACTATTTTTATTTGTGTTGTCCCACGTTTTCTTTCACCTTGGACGCGCTTCTTTGAATAGCATTGACAGTAGTCTTCATACCTGTTAAAATCCCCCAGAGGTGTGGCTTGAACTGGTATTTAAACTGGTACTTTTATTCCGTGAAGTCAACAATGGTGAACGCTCAGTTGAAACATGCGATCGCGGTTTTATGCGTCGTTTTTCCTTTTTTACGAATGTTCAAGTCTGCCGTTATACCTGGTGGCATCACAAAGATTGAGCAACATGACTTGTGCAGGCATAAAGAGCTTCTGGAGGGACTTAACAAAGTTGTGCGCCTAGAAAACGCGAAACAACCTAGACCAGTCTTCAAGTTTGTTTATCTTCCTTACACGCTTGAAGCATCGAGTCAAGTTGTTCAGGGATCAATCTACCGCGCCAGCGTAAAACTTGCGCCTTCAAAATGTAGAAACGATTTGAACGAGACGAGGGAAGGCATCGAGGCCTGTGGGTTGGATTTTTTAAACCCCAGCGTTTTACAACAGGAAAAGTCGTGTACGTTTGAGATATGGTCTCGACCTTGGCTGGCAGAGCCAGAGCGTTTGCTGGTGCAGAAAGCCGAGTGTAAACCTTCTACATCTGGGCAAGCGCAGCCGTATCGCATTCGTTGGACTATGAAAGTAAACATTAAACCTCTTTGCAACCTACTGGTCGCTCCTCCGACTAAACCGTGATTGAAAACGTTCTTTCGAGATCTTGAGAAACAAAAATGACTTTTGCGTTTATAGACAAAGTGCCTTTGTGTAACCATTTTTAACTGGAAAATGTAAAGGAATACTTTGTATCTGTGCTGTGGGTTTTGCTGTTCAGTTGATTGTCAATGTTATGGTAAAATTAAATTTAAAAAAACACTATCGAAACTTGCTGTGATGTTGTGCGGTATTTTGCGCTCTACGTTTTACAAACTGTTTATTTTGTTGTTCTAACCTTTGAGTTTATGGATGAATTGGTAATTGTGACCATACAGGTAAAAGTAAAAGCAAACCATTTTTTCTTTCCTGTAATATTGTTTATTGTGCCGTACAAGATGGTTTTAACTTTTGAATCTTTCGATGAAACCCAACCGCAAAAAGTGAAACCATACGGCGTGGCCATTCATGTGAAAGCTACTTAAGTAGCTGAATCATGTGGAATTTTTTACTATTATTACTTAATGTGTGCTTTTTCACTTTATTTTCATAAATATCCTGCACGTTTTCGCCCGAACATTAGCTTTTGGCGTCTTGATGACAAAACCTTTAAGTGTTCAGCTCTTTATCTCCCGGTATTAACCGATTTTTGATCGGAGTATGCAATGATTGGCCCTTTTATATGTGATCTGGTGACCGCACTTTTTCGAGGAAATTATTTCTGGTTTTCTTTTCAGTTTGAATGGTGGAAATCCGTCACCTGATTACGAAAGAAGGCGTGGTTCCTCTGGTACAGCTATCGGAGGAGGTAACTCTTCCAACGCGCACATGCGCACTGCAGCCAGCGTAGACCGGCTCAATATAATGGGCGAGGGCAATACTGGAAGGAAATTGCCTTCAATGCCTGATTCAATGCAGAGATCACCGATGAAGATTTCAGGCCGTGAAGGTGAAATAGCCGCGTTGAAGAGGAGCAGCAGGCGGTCTGCTTCATCGCACAACTTAGTTAATAGTACGGAAGGTAAGAAAAGTTTCCTTTTTTCACCAACAAGTAATGGTGTGCCGATCATCGATCGAAATTTTTAAGCGACACGTTAATCGATCATGAAAAATAATTAATCGGTTATCATAAGAACAATGAAATTTCTTGTTGTCATATGAAGAAAACTTGGGTGTTGTCACCCGAAAGCACAGAAAAAATTTTTAGCTCTAGGTAGAATCGAAGTCACGACCCTCCGAATTTGGTAGATTAGTCTAACCACTGAGCAGGGTCGAATCCACTGATATCCCTTTAATTAACTGATATGTTTTTGTCGTGTTGTAAAACTCGGTACAGCGGCCGTCCTAAGTTGAATTCTTATAAAGAGATTTTTCCGATTACAATCGATGACCGATCAGGTGGGTTAATCCGATTATTTCCGATGATCGACGTCAAGTCTCAGCCCATTCTTAACATTACTCGTAAGAACGTTGAGCCAATCAAGGTTGCAGCTATCAAATCGAACGTGACACCGACAGACGTTCTAGTCCTAGCAGAGTCCATGATGATAGTTTAACCTTAAGTCCCAAGAGTGATCAACATCAAGTTTCTCCTTACAGTATCAGTACATTATCAAAAGAAAAGGTTATGAGATTTAATAAAATGATCACCTCAGGAAAAAGCTTTGAAGTTTTATCAAATTCTCTTAACTAATTTTTTTAAGGAAATGTATGGAGATCAGTTTGGAGAATTTGTATGTGGATATTGGGGCTGAAAGGGTTAATGACCTTTGCTCCCACTGGTCTCCAAGTAAGTGGAGAACTGGGGTGCATACCATTTACTCAAACCACCCGGGTAGGAATTGGTGCACAAACAAAAAACTACAAAATTTGACAAGGTGGGAGAACGACCCGCTACAAAGTATATCCAGATCAGCACAACAGATCAAAAAGAGTAGAAAAATTGCATCGCCTTAAATCACACCCCATATCTCCTGAAGCTTTCCGAACTGAAGGGCGCGAACCATTTGATTTTCCAACCTGAATTTCCGGTTTTCCCAAGTAAGTGACACGTACCCCGGGTCTCACATCTGCTGAAAGAGCTTTGTTACGGGTAAACGCGCGGGTGCTGACTGGTTTAACAGGCTAACAATTTGAGAGCCTGGTACAGGTTGTCGCTAATCAGTCACTTCTCACTCTCCAAACAGGTGGACCATGGGAAATGAGGAAACAATCAAGTTCTTAGAGTCTCCGTGAGTGGCAAAAAAAGTCGCGTTACAACCGTGAATTATTTTCGACGACAACGTTTGACGTGACTCAAGAATTTCACGTCAGATAAGCTAATCTAGCTATTGACGTTGTTGAGACAGAACTTACTTTGACCATTGCTGTTTTTACAGACTAAAATTGTGAACAATAGGGTAAAATAGGTAGAGAAAACAAATATCCCGGGGATGAGGAAGAGAATATCCCTGGGGTGAGATCTTCCGCCCAGCGGGATTCATCAAGAGGCTTCGAGTAGTGAGGTTCAAGGCTAGGGTAGCAAAAAATTTTTGGTCATTCGAATTGGCGATTTGTCTATTTAGCTTACCCTTTGTTGTATTTAAACTCTTTATTTGGTTTTCTGACTTTTTGTTGAGGTACACATACGACTTCAATTTGCGGTTTACTTCCAGGGTATTTTTTAAGATAATTGTCTGTAAATAATCTAATCGTGATTGTTTTTGGTTGGTTTTTATTTCTTTGCCTTCATTATTAGTTCGTTCTTTTTGTTCTTTTCAACAATCGAAGGCTGTAGATTAATTTTTTCCCCTGTTTTACATATTACTTTTCTTCGCACCCAAGTTTACCGACACAACGATCCAAACTTTTTTCTTTTATTTGTGGTTTGTGGACCCTTCAGTTAGAAAAAAACTTGTTCACTCCTTAAAAGTCAAACTTGCTTAGAGACTTCACAAATATTTCCTAGTAATTCGTTAGGTCATAGAAGGTAGTGGCGGTGTGGAATACTTTGACCCAGAAGATATTCATGTTAGAGAAAAGAACAGAAATGTAATTTTGGCACATTTTTTATTCAATTATTTGGTAATCCCCGCCACATTCCACCCTTAAATTGGCTAACAAAGAGTGGCCAAAATACAGTCGTTTCGCCCTCGAGTCGTTTCGCCAACGTTCTGTTCGCTGTCTTCTGAAGTTGTTTCGCTTACGTGTTGGGTCACTTCCTCAACTGCTTTCGCCTGGTCAGTGGTTGAAAGAACGAGGTACATACATACGTATATTGCGTAAATATACGTATGCGTACGCATATTGATGGGCAGCGCTCGTTTCGCTTCTTAGCGGAACGACATAAGACGTCAGCGAACGGAACGTTAAGGAAACAACTCGTTTGCGAAACGACCGGTCATCGGTGGGAGGGAGGAGGGCCGTTGACTATACGTGTCTCTGGAAACTTGTTCAAATACAGCTATACAGGAAATTGAAAGCAGGATAAGTGGTTAACTGCATATATCTTGGAGTGCGGGTATTATCGACAACTAGTGTCCGTTCAAATTACTATCGTCGGTCTAACTCAAACATTGTTTAATCTCGTCTCAAGTCTCTGCGCCCCGCAAAATGAAGATTGCGGGACAAGCCAAAACGTTTCTTTGAAGAAGTTTAACTCTTGGGAGTGAATAATAGTATATTATTTGATTAGAAACGCTTCGGAAAGACAGATGTTATTTATTACTCGATAATATCAAGATTGTTAGTTCTTTCAGTGGGCAATTTATCTGGTGACTAGTCGTATGATCTCGTGAACTCGCGAAGTCTGCCGGAAATTAGCCGAGGATCGCGGAATGATCTCAGGTGCTCCTCTCGGTGACCCTGGGTAGGGTTTTGTTTACCAACCTCATTCCCAGGACATGGAAATGAGGTTGTACGTAAACATGTTTAGTGTTATCCAATGGGCTTATTTAGTCAGAAGCTTGTTAGGAAGCAGCGATTTAATTAAGTAGTTTAACTATTCATTACAAAGTCTATTTTTAAACTTAGCTCAATGAATATTAAGTCGGTTTGACATGGCTTGAAGCTAGATATTCCATGTGTGAATTTAGTCAAGGAGCTTTTTTTTATTTCAACTTTTCACGTCGACTGTATAATTTGCTCTTGATGTGCCGTTAGCTTCAGTGTTAAGGGAGTATAATAAAAGCCGACTCATAAAATAGATGTCTTATTAACCTGTGTTTAGTTTGGTGTGACCATTTTGCGTTACTTATAATAATTTTAATTATCCGTGGGCCGGTTATAGTACAGAGGATATTTATCGGTGAATAAGGACCTGCCTAAACTACAATCAGGGACACTCAACTTGGGTCACACTGCTCTGATACCGGTCTGTCTCTCTTCCAATGTTGTTTTGTAATGGTTTTTTAGTGGAATTGTCCAAGTTCGAGGCCAACATTGAAAGGGACAGGGAAAAGGGGTCGAGCAAAACATGTCAACGTTATTCCTGCAATTGACCCAAGTTCTAATGTCACGGATTGTAGCTACAATCTATAACAAAACTGTAGAGCCGAAGATCATCTTTACACGCAAAAAGTAACCAGTAAACAGAATTTGAGATGCCCCCGTCCCCTCCATGAATCAGTCCCTTCACGTTTGCGTTTCTTTGACTCCAAAACTCTGAAGACCACTGTCGCACAGGTCGTTGGAGAGGGTGGCCCAATTCTCATGTCTTGGTTAAGTCGTGATTTATGTGCTTCAACTCTTGCGAGTTGTTCAATTTCTTATAGAAATTATGCTTGAAAAAAATACTTGTTAGCATAAGAACAACATGATTTAAATAAGAAAGCAGAAAGGGTTGTATCAAAACAAGGTCAACTCCAGTGTCGTTTCCATCTGTGACTGTAAAATGGCCTATTCGTGCGATTCGTACCAGTGGTGAATGGTGATACCTCAGTGTCGATGCCAGATCCAGACCCTGAGATAAGGGGGGAGGAAGGGGGTTGCAGGTCATCCAGACCCTTAGGTAGGGGTGGGGGAGGGCGATCTCCAAAAAAAAAAATTTCGGTTCTTCGGGCCTCAGTTTGGTCGAAAAATAAGGGGGGCGGGCCCCCCGGGCCCCTCCTCTGGATCCGCCACTAGTGTGATAATATGAGGTATCACATACTTGAAAGCGCATCTCATTAGGGACACTTGGATGGAGAGCAAGTTGCCTAGAGGGGCCTGTTTTCATGTGGTAAGAGACGTGAAACTGGTGAAATCGCATCTCCTTAGGGGGATGAACTCATACACACTGTACAGCACAACTGTAGGCCTGGTACAGCGACTCTCTCGTAATATAAGCTTTAACACTTGGCTTCCAGAGTTATTGGATCGTGTTGATGGCTTCGTCGGTGGAGAGAATACAATCACTTAACGGAATCTAAAAGTATATCTCTTTTTATTGACTTATTCATTGCCTTCTTTGAGGTCAAATCCATATTTCTCACCTTTCCCGAGGAAAAATGTTTGTAGTGCGTACATTCAGTTAAAAATGACTGTATTTTATACGATATAAGAGAATCATTCAAAATCTTCATAAGTTATTAAGTAGAGGTTCGACCACTCTTTGATAACTATGGCCAAAGGAATAAATAGACCCTTTAGAAGAGACAGAGCGTTGCGTATGAAGAAGTAGCATTTTACAACAAGTACCAAGTACCAGTTTGCTAGACAAATTATGACCATATCTCGAAAAATCACGGAAACGCGAAGACAGACTCATAGTCACTACAGAAAGTAACCCAACCACACTCGAATTCACTCTTAAAACTTTATCAAAACTCATTCACTGTTATCTAAATTTTCGACGTTGCACTTCCATGTTCCGTTTCAAGAAGCAGTTGTCCCGCGGGATGATCGCAGACTCTGTCCCGTTCATAAACTACGTTTCCTCGTAGTATGGTCTTGTGGACGACTCCCCGTAATTTCATGTTGTGGTATGGAGTTACCTGAGAAACAAGACGGGAAATAAAATGCTAACCACTTGATAAACAATTTTTCAAGTCAACTGGTCCATCTGTTTCCTGGGTAGGGGGGTACTTCCTAGTAATAGGCTAATGGGGATGTGCCGCTGGATGGGGTCACCTTTTCACGGCTGGATTGACTATAATGAACGGGATCGCACATTTTCGGGATTGGGGGATCAGAAAATTCAGGGAGGTAGGGATTTAAAAATGGAAAGATTCTTACTTTATTAAGTTTAACCAATGAGTCAATTCATTTCAAGATGACCCATGCAAGTTGAAAGACCTTATTAATTAGATGCATAAACAGAAAGTTACTAAGTTGGGATCGCCAAAATTACATTTTCCCAAAAGTGACTAAGATCGGGTCTATATTTGGCCACAGAATAGACTATAATGGGGTAGAGGCTCTCAGAGGCCAGCGACACGTACCCAACAAATATTAACCCAATCCCGGATCAGTTTGGAGCTCTGATCCCCCGGGGCTGGAAGGGTATTTTTGGGATCCGGGATTTGACCAAAGTACAGTGAGAGATTCGGGAAAACGCAATACTATAAAATCCCACATTAAAGCCCTGGGCTTATATAACTTCATAAGGGGTGTTGGGTGGGCTTATAAACGGGGGGGGCTTATATTGGGGGGTGATATAAGCGGAATAAAAAATGTTTCGGAACGACGAGATAAAACGCGTACTTGTTAGTTTTTCTTTCTTTTTTATTGCAGTATTTGGAAACAGAAGAGGAATTCGGGAAAGCGACGAAAAAATAACGGGATGCGGGATTTTAGTGAAAAAGGAGCGAGTGCGGGATGAAGGAATACGTGGACTACATTTCTGGTATCTCGACCCCTAAAACTAACATCTCGCTGCAGAGTTTTTTTACACTTAAAACTAAATAGACAAAAAATATAAAATATAAAAAGATATAAAATACCTTGTTTTTATGACGAGTTATTTTCTGGTCAATCTGAAATGAAAATGAAAGCTTTAGATACAACCAATACAACCAAAACATAACTAAAGAGACAAAAAAGAGCCAGCGTAAATCTGTTCGTTTTTTGGTTTGATGAACACGCGTACCTGGTGACTGTGTTGCACGAACTGAACGCGCGCGTCAAGCGATCTGGACGCGTGTATCAGTTGAGAAGTGCAAGCAGGTAGGGGATGAGTAACCTGCGAATACAGCCGTCTCTTATCGATCCTCACCGCTAAGCCCCTAGCGGTGAGAAAAATGGTCCCCTCAGAGGACATGTGCTTACTGGCTATGAATATTCTTTACTCAAGTAACCATAAAAAAGAAAAAAGTATCTGTTAAATTCGTCGAAGAAAATATGTGCGATGACGGGTATCGAAACCAGTACCTCTCCATCTGAGGTTAAAGTAAAAAACTTTCAGTAAAGCTGGGTTCCACTAGTTCTTTTAATTCCAAACAAGTTGTGAGAACATCCTTTCTCAGTCCTAGACGTCGTGTCTTCCGTCCCCCGGGTGTTCGTTTTTCTACGTAGACGACCGAAAACCGAAAGTATGACAGGGTCTGCCAAAGACAGCCCAGTAACAAGTTTGTTTCACTCTGTGTACGCAAGGTTGAAAAGTCATCGAGTATCTATCGAACGCGGATCTCGACTGTAACTTACTAAATTCTTGCAAATTTATTGCTTGTAATCGAATAATTTTCGAAATGATTAATGGACTTTTTTAATATTAAATTGTTGGGCTTTAAAAAGGGGGGGAAAGGAATCTATGGATTCGTAGAGGAAAGGGGGGGCGATAGCGGGTATCAAACCCGGTACCTTCGGCTGAAGAGAGAACAATAGAAATGTTACCCGACAACGATTCGCAACAACGATTTATTGCGCGACATTGTTGCCACATTGTTTTGAATAGTTACAACATGGTTCCAAAATTGCAACGCTGTGCTGCGCTAAAAATCGTGGTTGCGAATCGTCCCGTGTAAAATCACCTTTACGGACTTACAGAGACGTTAACATAATTCAAAAATAGGAAAACTTAAAAATTTCGCCTTTACCACAACTGCTTCTTCGGGATCCCAAAGAACAAAGTCAGCATCCATGCCCACCGCGATCTTTCCTTTACGATGACTCAAGCGGCTCAGCTTGGCAGGCTCTTCAGACATCAAACGAACCACATCATGTAGAGAGAACCCTCGCGTGCTGGCCTGACTCCAAAATATTGATAAACCTAGGGAAAACAACGCAGGACTTAAAAAATTGTCGGTGAATATTTAAGAAATTGTTTTGATGCTTACTATAGTCTCCAGTTTTCTTAGCAAAAAAAGAAGTAGCCCAAGGATTGGTGTTAAGAGCAAAGTTTTTTAGGGCTATAAAAACGTAAGTGTACGCAAGGGGAATGATGAGCAGAACCAAAAGAGGGCAGCATCGTTTAGTTCGCTTCTTCTTTTTCCCAGTCCCACGCTTGGTAGGTTTCTTCCGAGCCGCCCGCCTGTGTCACTGACTAAAAATACATCTTTGTCATGTATTAACCAGGCTTAAAATTCACAATCACATTTCTGTTCTATCATTGCACATATCGACACGCTAGTCCTAGCAGTGTGTAAGATGTTTGTCACATGAACCCACAATACTCGTCACTTTAGTTGGGGCAGTTGTGGAATTTTCTGCCCTCTCAATGTTGGTTTTTGCGAGTTGGCATGTCAGAAGAAGCAAAATCAATACTGGGAGGGAACGAGCACAACTTTTTGTCGGAATATGGGTACAGCACGGGGTGTCCCAACTTAATGTGACGAGGATTGTAGTTCAGTGGCCTTAGCTCACACGAGTCACCTGTAGCTTGCTGGTCGACTCTCTATTGGGAGCACTCAGATTATTTCTTCCGTGTCGGCTGTCTTTCTCATCTATGATATACTAAACATGCACATTGCCTTTCTTTGCTCAGTAGCTTGTAGCCACTCATGTTAAATCAACTACCATATTGTACTCCAGCGATTCCTCCCCAGGCCGCCATAAAATCTCCTCGGTCCAACAGCTTCAAATCCACAGTGCAAGGGGAATGGTCCGAGATTACAAGGTCAATGTCACGTGACTTCAGAGCTTCCCACAAAGCCTCCTGTTGCGGAGGGGAAAATGCAAAAATATCATTACAAGAAGAAAAAAAAAAAAAAATGCAATTGCTAATTTAACAGACCCTTTCCACGTTTCTTTTTACAATTTTTGACTGCGATCACTTAGCGTAAAGCCATCAACACGGCTAAAAAGAACGCATTAAAATTAGTAGAGATGCCAAGTTTGAAAGTGATTTGTTGAAAACTAAAGAAGATATAGCCGCGCCGAAATTTACAGACGTTTTTATGGCACGAACAAATGTTGGCCACTGGTCTGTCCTTCCGCCAACAAACGTCGGTAAAAATTTCGCGACTTTGGGGAGCAATATCTTTGCTCGCTTTTCCCTGCGAACATAGGATTCTTTCTTGCATAACTTTGAGCGTTTATGAAGCTTGTCTGCCGCGTAGTTGGTTTAACGATTGGTAAACGCTAAAAGCCATGCAAGACTGAGAAACTTCTGCTCGTATGGTATGCTCGCTTACAGGTCTCAGCTTTAAACTTGGTAAGTTTCTTAAATTTAAGGTGCTCTTTTCAACAGTGTTAAGGCCGGGATATCGGTAAATGGTTTTTATCGAAACTTGAAAAAACAGTGGAAGAGTCTATTGCCTGAGGACTGAAAAAGCCCTTTCGGCGTCTTGTCACAATTCATGGGACTCTTTTGGTCGCGTTTGAAACGACATTATTTTCGATGCTGTCGTTGAATGGGCGTGGCACGTGGCACTAACAACAACATCAGATCATCAAGAGTAAAGGTTATGAGAATTATTAAACTGATTACCAGAGGAAGAATGCTTTGATCTTAAGCCAAATTCTCTTAACTGTTCTTAAAAGAAATGTACGGAGATAAGTCTGGAGAATTTGTATTTGGATCTTGGGACTTAAAGGGTTAAACAATTGAGCGTACTTGGTTTGCAGCATCTCTGACTGGCGGACAGCATTTGAACTGAGTGGCACCATCAGGGACATCCTCAGCTAGGAGCGACAGATAGTGGTGCGTGGTTTCTATGGTGAGAGGGACTCCTTCCTTTCTCGCCTTCCTGATCATGGGCAAGGCGCTTGCTGAGGAAAGGTGCACAATATGACAAGGAACCCTAAAAGAAAATAACACGCAGATTTAGAAATAAAAACGCGACGGCTTTCACGACGGCGCGCGCAGATCTAACAGCGAGCTTCACGGAAGGCAGAGAACAGAGAATGGAAGTGGAGTTCAGTCATTTCTGCGCGCTTTTGCGTTTTCATTAGGAAGCTTAAGATATCTCGAACCCAGATCTCTTGTTGACGAAGCCAAAGCCATATCTGATCAAATACGATCTGTGCACGTGATCGCCTGTCAAATTTGTATTGCGTAGTGTCTTTTTCTATCGGAGACAATTTGCCGGTGAATTTGGGCAAAACCATAGCTCAAGAATCCATAAGGTCCACTTGTTGTTGACAAGCGTTGCTCAAAAACGCCATAGCTCCCAATGTTACATTGCGTTGTCAGTTTCATAAAATTCAGCACGGCGAGAAATTTGACCACTTAAAAACAGAAAGAGCCACGTGCTGCACCTAGCGGGCCGTATGCTAATTGGCCGGGCCTCTAGCACCACGATGATAGTTCATAAAATAAGTTTTTAACATTATCCATGTACAGCAAACACATAAAGGTTTAAAAATTCTTATGCACGCTCTTTTCGATATCTTAAGTTTAGTAACAAGGTAGCGCGGTAAAACAAGAATAAATTTATCTTTCGGTTCGGCAATCTACATATTGACCCCTGAAATCAATGAACGCAAATTCATTCAACTATTCTATTACATTATTTTTCATATTACTATGTTCCCACCAATAGCAGAGCTCCATTATTCACCATAAAGCGTGCAAATATCCCACAATGAAGAAAGGCTAGAAATGAAAACGGTCTTACATGTTGAACAATTTACGTTTTGGGCCTCTGGTACCATAGTGGTTTGAATTAACGCATGGACAGGTAGATTTGTTCTATATATCATTATTATATAAAAAGGAGTACTTGCAATCAATTAAAAAACTGACCTATATTCTGTACATAGTTTAATCACCAGTTCAATCGCTTGGTTTTCCATGGCTTCAGGCCGTGACTGTAGGAATGTATTGTATTTAGCAGGGTCTGTTAAGTACACAGCCGGAACATGACATGAGTCAAAAACAATCACTAAACCTACGTCTATTATTACAGTACATAAAATTACAATATTTAGAAATATAAATAATGACCTTTCAAAAATAAATGTCTAGGCTTTGCCTACCTTTGCTGGTGCTCTCTGCCTCTGCAGGCAGCTCAACTTCAGCATGAAACTAAGTTGGAATAATAAATTAAGACGAGTTAGTTTATGTTTTTAAGGGGATTGTGATACATGTTTTGTTAGAGGTAAAGGTAAAGGTACGATACTTGTTGAAAGGTAAAATACGTCGAAGGCTCCGCGCAAAATGCCGCTCTATGCATTTGCTCTTTCTACTTGGTCCCCTAATTTCCAATCTTCTGTCAATACTAGCACCAGCATTTAGTTTGCCAATCAACGTTCTTCACTGTGCTTCCTCCTACCATGACCTACATGTTGTTTTGTCTTTATTTTCCTTTAACATTTTTTCAGTTAAGCACATGCGTACACTACATGGGTAAAGGTAGCTACGCTCCTGGACTATTTTGTTGTCTGCAGTAAGAAGCACCAAGAAGTATCACAGCTCCCCCAGGGGAGGGACAGATATTAAAAAAAACTGCCCCTGGGAGAGGGATACCCATTTATACACCTGCCCCTGGGGGAGGGGTACCCATTTACACACCTCTGTGCAGAGAGACACAGTGAAGCAAATCTCTTGCCTCTGGCACAGACTCTCAAAATAACCCAATGGTTAGGCTAAAAACTGAACCTACTGGATCCAATGATTGGTAGGTTAACCACGAGACTATCAGAACCCACACTGAAGAGTTTTAACCTAATACATGGCCTAAAATTAGCACTATGGCAACATAACAGCTTTCATTCCAATTTTTGCAACTCGTTTCCTGGCTCCCATCAAATGGCAGTCATCTCCCAAACCCCTTGCCAAATGCCCACTTTGTTACTAGCTAGACTACATACCAGAAACACAGCATCTGTTCCCTGCATTTGTTTCATTGCCAGTCTGACATCATTCCCTGCAACACAAGGGAATTCATCAACTCCACTGTGTATTAGGAAGCATTTGAAACCCTTGATTCCGGCATTCACCATGGGTTTGATTTCAGCCTAAAGGAGGAGAAGAAAACCAACAAAAACTGTCAGTTTATTTACCAACAAAAAGTACACATAACTTTTTTTTATTCATTACATAGCTATAAAAGCCATTTCTGACTCTGTCATTGCTTAATTTTTGGTCCTTGACTTACTGTTCTGACAAGTAAGATCTTTTCTTATTCTTAAATTCAGCCCACATACTAGTGCAATATAGTTCCACAAAAAACTCCAACAAAATGTGGTCAACTGCCCTTTTTGTTTGTCCCAATAAAATATACATTTTAAAGACCAGGCAAATCCTTTTTAATATGCCTATTTTTTGTTCGACAGAAAGAGAGCCATTCAATAAAAATCATATCAGCCTGACATTTTCTCGAAGACTCCATGCTCTAAATTACAGATCCTTACCACCCCTCTCTTGAGTTAATGAGGCTAAATTGTAATTTAATTAGGCAAGGTTCACCTCAAGACAATGCCAGCAGTTCAGCGGTTGAGCCCCAGGCAGGCAGGCAGGCTTGTGCAGGGTGGCTTCTTGGTCTGCAGGGGCTGACATGTGATTGCATATCTCAGGGTTGCCATGGTTACCTCCAAGGCAATGCTCCCCTTTTGCGCTACACGGGCCCTTCCACCTTTAAGGCACTCGCTCCCAAGCTAATCTTGCCGATGAGTTTAATGGCCTAAATGCCTTGTACTTGGGGCATAAAAAGGGTAGGTATAACTAGGTCCAAAAAATGGATACACACCTGATTTCCAGGTACTACTCCACCCCAGAAAGCAACATCTGTCCAACACTTATTCCTGGCACTTTTTAGTTTAGTGTAAAATCCATCCAGTGTGGTGGTAGGTGGGATGGAATTCCTTCAAAATGACAAGACAACATTCTTTCAGGTCAACTGTTACAAAATATAAATAGTTTAAAGCAAAAGTTCTGTGGTACAGTTTTCACAAGAAGATGGTAATTCCACTGGAATTCATCCACAGTTTTAACATAGAGTGACAAATCATTTCGCCACCTTTTTCAGTCCAGGAGTGAATGGCAGGTACAAAACACAGGTCGCAGGTCATGAGCACAGGTCACTGTTCTATCGATAGATAACCAAGATAAGTAGTTTCCCCTTAAGCTAATACTCAGTCTTGGATTGCGATTAGGGGTCAGAAACACAATTTAGTGTTCCTTGTTCTTTTAGTGGTATTTACCGCAGCAGGGTGACCCTGTACTCTAACCTGCACTTGTGACCTGTGACCTGTGACCTGCATTTTGTACTTGCCGAGGAGTGAATGGATTAACTCCCTTTTATCAAAATGCAAATGCAATCCTACAGTTACAGGTTCATGTTGCTTTGTTCCTTGGTGACCTGTTACTTCACTCCAAGGTACTGGGCCATACAAAATATTGACAAGTTTAACTTTGTTTTTTTTGTTTGTTTTACTAGCTTCTATTGGCATTTCCAGTCATTTTTCTTACTTTCATTTGTACCATTACCACGAAATTTTTGGCCTTAGAACCTGCAGGCTCAGAATTTTTAGAAATAATTCTCGGGCACAGAATAATTGATGAAAAATGCTCAAGTCTTGGTCTTTAATTTTGAAACCCGGGTCTTGCTGTCTCACAGAGTCTCAAAGTTTTTTTACTCCTCAAAGAGGTTTCAGATTTTGAAAGGTCACAGTGTAGGAATTCATCCTCTGACTGAAAAGTTGTTAGCCACTTTAAGACATTCCATCATTCACTCAAGTGATGAAAGGGTTGAAAGCATGGCCAAAGGGTTAACCCTTTAAGTGCCAATATCCACATACAAATTCTCCAAAGTGATCTCTATACATTTTCTTAAAGAATAAGTTGAGAGAATTTCATAAAAGATCAATGCATTTTCTCTTTGGTGATCATTTTATCAATTCTCATAACCTAATCTCTTGACAATGTATGGATATCTTTAGGAGAAAATTGATGTTGGTCACCATTGGGACTTAAAGGGTTAAAGCCCAGGACTCACAATTTGGAGGCCACAAGTTCAAGCACAGCTTTGACCACTTGCTGTACATTTAACCCTTTAAGTCCCAATATCCACATACAAATTCTCCAAACTGGTCTTCATACATTTCCTTAGAGAATGAGTTAAGAGAATTTGGTAAAAGATCAAGGTATTTTCTCTTTGGTGATCATTTTATTAATTCTCATAACCTAATCTCTTAACAATGTATGGATAGTGTTAGGAGAATATTGATGTTGGACGCCATTGGTTCACAGTAGTCCTGAGTTCGGCTCCTGAGCCACACTTGTAAATAGCCAATTGGTTTGCCTCCAGCCAGTTGGGATTCTTAACCCTGTTTGAGTTTTGATTTGTTTCAGTCATCTGGTGAGCCCTACTTGAATTTGATTTATAAATACTACTGAGGGTAAATAAAGAACTTATTATTGTTATGATTATAAAGACTCACAGAGGCATATCTACAATGGTAGTGATTCCTCCAGCGGCTGCTGCTTGGGTAGCAGTTGCAAAGCCTTCCCAGTCTGTTCTACCAGGTTCGTTGACATGGACATGACTGTCAACAACACCTGGCATGATAACAAGATCTCCTGCATCTAGCACCTGAGAGATAATCACATAAGAAAACTGCATGGTGACTCCATTTCAATAGCAAGTACAGCAGTCTCAATTATAATGGATTAGAACTACAGTTTCACCCCATAAAAGGGAATCCAAGACAGTGTTGGATTCTGTATTCCTTGCCATGGATTCTAGATTTCAGGTACTGGATTCCAGTCTTTGTAAGTGGAATTGGGATTCTGGATTCCAGTTGTAAGTAGGATTCTTGATTTCTTGACCTGAATTCCAGATTCCAAAGCCCAGGATTCCAGATTCCACAAGCAAGAATTTCACGGATTCCAAAATCCGGATTACCTTAAATGGGGCAATTAGGCCTTTTGTAAGGCCCGGGGGGCTTAGCCTTCCCGGGGGCACTCCTAAGAATGGTCCCTGGCTGTGAAGCCCAGGCACCAGTTGTTCAAAAGGTGGATGGTGCTATCCACAGGATAGCGCAATTGGTTTCCCTAATACTTATCCAATGGATAGCAATGTATCCAATGGATAGTGCTATCCATCTTTTGAACAACCGGGGCCAGTTCTCTAAATCCAAGACTTATCCAATGGATAAAGCAATGTATCCAATGGATAGTGCTATCCATCTTTTGAACAACCTGTAGATCCGGGCCCAAAAATCGCGGGTTCTCTAAATCCAAGACATGCCATCATGCACAAAGGTAATTTAACCCAATTTTCAGACCTTGATAAATATTTTGACTTCTAAAGGCAGAATGTTTAGAATTCCAGGAAAACAATTCAGGAAGCGAGCGGTTTTCAAGCCTGGCATCAGTAGCAAGAGTTGTGCAAGCTGAGCTCTTTCATGCGAATTTACCCTTTCAAAAGGAAAAAAAACTTCGAGGAAACGTTGTGTTTTTTTAATTTGTGAAGCTTCACAATTACGATTTTGAATCCCGCTTCCCTTTTGGGGCACCCCTTCAGTATTTTGGCTATCAAAATTTTGAATTCACCATAATTATCTTTCTGTTAAATTGTCCAATAACAATGTTTTTTTCTACAAATAATAGGACACATTTTTGACAGAAAAATTTGCAGTACTTTTAGCAGTATTAGACAAACTGGCTGTTCTTCCTCTCATGCACTTAGAGTTCAAAAGAAAAATATGTTCATACAATTTTGTAGTCCCATTGAAAACTTATATTCAATTTCAGACCATAATGGGCAAAACCTATACCCATTTTCAGACCAAAAGAACTCAAAAATCATACTCGTTGGGGTGGCACACTGCACACCCCTATATTACAACAGTATCCCTCAACCACTGCACCCCCCTCCCCCTCCCCCTGCTTCCCATCCTAAACAAAACATGGTTAGCTTGGTCAGTAGCAGGATTTTACAAGCCCAGGCTCTCCCCTTCTCCTCCAGAGTTGCAAGTTTACCTTAAACTTGGACAAACTCTCAACTCTCAGCATCTTTTAAATTTAATTAAACCAACAGAGAAAGAAGTGACAACACTCTGCTCTACAAACCGCTTGATCTTTGTGTCTCGGATAACTATTTACACAAAGAAATGACAGTCCCTTCATTACTAGGAAACATTAAAAACAGTGTCCGCAAATAGCACTTCTTCAAACTCAGTGGTTGCAACGTTTAAAATAAATAGGGATCGAGCAGTATTCTTTTACAGCTTCGATAAAAAATTTCACCTTGGCTTCTAAGGTCCTATCATTTCTGTGAAGTCCTTTTTCTATACCAACGATTCTTCCATTCTTCACGCTGATGGATCCAGAAGAAATGCAATCAGGAAGAACTATTCTGTTGCCTTTGATGATCAAAAGTTCTTCGCCGTCCGCCATATTGGAACACGTCGCTTCTGTGTCCCGCCCCTTGGTCCCAGGACTTCACCTTTAGTGGGAAATACAGGAACGAGGAAACGAAAATATGGGGAGTACGGAATGCAGCTCAGGGAAAACTGACAAATGATGGAGAGCTGGATCAGTGAAAGGATCAGAATAAGATCCTGGGAGACTGACCACTTACTTCGTCCCTAACACATCATTTTGCTCCTTGAAAAAGAAATAGAGAAGTTAAAGTCGAAGGGCAGGGGTTGGTGGAAGGTTTCGCAGAATTTTACACCAAAGAGAGCCGCGTCTGTGAGTCTTCTGTGTGTTGTGTTGTTTTTTAGCGCTATTGATATTTCGACATGGTTAATGCAAACGAGCAAAAAAACCTGCTAAACCGTCAAATATGTTCTTGCAATATCGCGCTGCAATATCGTGTTGTAAGAACATGTTTGACCGCTTCTCTACTTTACATGTTTCAATTCGTAAATCACTCGGCACTCGTAAACGATGAACGTATACAAAACATGGACCACCTCTGTGGACCTAGTCCATGGACCTCTTCGTGGACCCGGTCCATGGACTACCCCCGTGGACCGCCCTTAATTTTTGAAGGTGAATTTTTACCAGAGGTCTAAACGGATTTTAGGAACCTTAAATGGATGAAACTGTGTCAACTTTTAATATATTATCAGGATTAATAAAAGGCTTCTCATATTATACACTTGCTCAAATTTTTCCTGAATTCCATTCATGGGATTGGTTTAGTCTGGAAGGAAAAACAATATTCGAAGGGGATAAAGGAGGAAAGGTAGGGAGGAAGTAGTCTCCTATGCATCTCTTTTTTTGTGTGTCGTCGTATAGACCTTATCAAGGTTTTGGACGCCATCTCGTCGAGTAGACAACCGCGTGAGAAATTACAGTGTTTGTATGAGAATCTAATTGCACACAAATATATGGAAAATCTAAAGCAGGCGTCTGGAGAAATTTTGAGCACAGTTGCGGCCCTCAGAATTTATTAGTAGAATCCTTTTCTGGGTAGCTTTAGTTTACAATTCATATTTATTCAGAAAAGCCGTTTTACAGAAATTATTCGACATTAAATTCTCATGCAAACACTTTAATTTCTCACGCGGTTGCGGCCTTCTCGTCAAGATGGCTTCCAAAACTGTGACAAGGTCTATTGCCCGGGGTCTATTGGGTGAGGATCGACACAAAAACGGCTACATGGAAGCCTAGGGAGGAAAAGAAAATGCATAATGATTGAGTACACCGCCCTTGATGACCCTTGGAAGTGTTTATTGGTCGGCAAGTTATTGAATCCTGCTCACGAATCAAGTACAAAATGACCTGCACATCATCAAACAAGGCGGTTGGTCAAACGCCTGACATGTTTGCGGACATTTCACGTGTTGGTTCGTGTAAATTGCCATTCATTCAAGTCGAGATTGCTGTCATTACAAACACACAGACTTTATTAAGTTTCTTCCATAGTCTCATGCCAAGCCGTTTTTGTCGTTTTCTATTTCACGCAACGTGAAGACAAAAAAAAAGAGCCTCATAGGAGACTACCTCATAAAATATTGTTCCTCCTTCACCAAACTATTAAAAACGAACCCAGTCCATTGCTATGAAATTGAAAAAATAAATAAATAAATAAAAATAAATAAACTTTGACCACAGTTTCGTCCATTTAAGGTTCCAAAAATTTCAAGTGTTTAGACCTTTGGTCAAATTCAACTTCAGAAATTAGCGCTGGTCCACAGGAGGGCGTCCAAGGACCGGGCCTACGAAGGGGTTCATGGACTAGGTCCACAGGGGTGGCTCATGGACCGGAGGTCCCTGTTTTGTATACATTCGACTTTAAAAAAAGAAAAGAATCTTATTTTACCATTTTCTAGAATGTAATCTAAATTGCAAAAGGTTGAGGGCGTCTGGGGAATTGAAGCTTTACCTCGCTTTTCACAAACCTGCGAATTCTGAAGTTCAAAAGCCAACTGACGATTGCCTTTTTCGCTGCCGTCAATCATCTTAACGGACCTCTTAGGAAACAAAACTTTATTTTAACGGGTTCAAAGGTCATGGATTGTGATTTCTGATTGGTGGATTTCGATGCGTTTTGTGAGTTTCTGTGTTTCAAGGTTCGTTGCTTGTGATCGTAATTATGATTGACGGCAGCGAAAAACACAATTGTGAAGGCGGCTTTTGAACTTTAGTGTTCGCATGTCTGTGAAAAGCGCAGTAAACTTCCTTTCTGATATATTTGATTACTATAATATATTGTGTTTTCCTTACTTTGGTGTGAATTTTACATATGTATCGAAACTTTTACAGTTTTAGCGAAAAAGTATTAAGGAAAAACGGCTTTTTCTCTAGAATAGTGTACATTGTGATAAAGCAAACTTAATTAATTTTACCGTTATTTATTTACATTTTCTGTATTCGTTTATGTTTTTAGCTGCCCACAGTAAATACTGTAAATGGATTTAAGATTAAATGAAAGTCAGTTTAAGACTGGCAGATGTTTTTCCACATGTAATAATCATAGCTTAAAGGAGGGTACTAAGGTAGGAGTTTTGGGTGTATGGGTGCTCACGTCTCTAAATCTATTCTCTTATTGAGGGCCGGTTTGGAAGAGTTTTACATTAACAGTTATAGGCTGTTCTATAATTTAGACCATATTTATCTTTGTCCTAGACTTCCCTGCTAACGATTGGAAACTCACGATATGATTACGCAAATTAAGTACACGGTCGACTCGATAAGAAAAACATGTTGTAGAGAGGACCTCTAAAACCTCGACATGAACCCGACCACGAGACCAGTGGCACACATTCGAATAGGCATCATAAGGAAGAGAGCCGTTCTCCCCCCCCCTCCCTCTTTTCCCCGACCTGCTCTCCCGGAATCCCTGACTAGAGTCAATTCATAACCAAACTACACGCCTTCTTTTTTATAAGAGACCAGTTCCTCTGTTAGTGCATTTCAATTCAACAGTTTTTTTTTGCAGGTAAAGCAATGTACACAAACGTTGTCATCGCCTTCTCTGTGGTCATTGGAATCGAAACACTCATCATTTGTGTTGGAAACGCTTTCGCAATTTTTGTATTCTGGACGCAGTACACTGGCAGTAGAAGACGAGCCAGTTATCTTCTGATCAATCCGGCGGTTGCCGATTTCTTAATAGGAGTCACTGAGCTTCCATCTTTTATAACCAACTCCATCCCCTCTCTGATGCGAAAAAGTAAATCTGACCTTGGAGGCTATATTTCAGCATTTGTCGTCCTGTTTTCAGCTGCTTCAGTAGTTTCTCTTGCTGCTGTTTCAGTCGAACGCACTGTCGCTGTCTTGAGGCCACTTGCTCGTCGAACTTCAAGTAAGAGAGTCTATGTCTACTCTATTGCTTTTACTTGGATGACTGCTATAATATTATTTCTCATTTTCGTTCTACCGGCCTTCAAAATGTGGCCTTCAGAATATGCGGTTATAGCACTGAACATCGTTCTTGTACTATCCATTCTTACCACTTGTCTTACGTATATCATTATACGCGCCCATTTGAAACGTTCACCCCAAATATTTAACAGTGATCAAAGGCGAAGCATGGAAAGAAACGTGAAACTCTCAAAAACGGTATTTCTGATCATCGCATTGTCATTTGCTTGTTGGGTTCCAGCTATATTTTTGTACGTCATCCGTGACGTCTTTTGCAAAGAATGCATTCCAGCCGAAGTCGTTTGTGTGGGAACAGTTTTGCATTTTGCAAACTCTCTAATAAATCCTATCGCATATACTTGCAGGCTGTCAACTTTTAGGAAAACCCTGAACGGACTCGTTCAAAGGCGACAAGTTCGTGTAGAAATAACTAAGCTCTGAAATAAAATGTCTCCTGTTTTGTAAATTATGGCAAATAATATCCCACATTTTGTCCTGACGTCACGCATGCGCCAATGGTGTCACCTGGGCATACATAGTAGCCTCTTTCATTCTGGAAATCATCCCTCTTCAGGTGTCCTCTAAAGCCATGATTGGGGACTATGAGTTGCATGGAGCGTTTTCTCTCACGCGGCCATTAGATTAATTGAAAGAAAAAGAAAGCTTTTATGTAAGAAAAAGATTCATCTCCCACAGAATTGGTTTGGAGCACCAACATGGCTACCTTTTTATTAAGCAATTAGTATTTCGGTACCCAAAAGTGGCAGAAATGACGTCATGTGAAAATGCTCTATTAGCAATTATTAGTACGCGAGGGAGACTGGATCGGTGTTCTGTTGAATTGCATTATGGGAATGTTGTAATGAAGAAATTATGATCCAGTTTCCTGTGCAACCTTGTAAATGTAAATGTAAATGTCGCGATTGAGAGGACAAACGTACATGTCCTCTTTACATAGCTTTTTTGCAGTGGGCTCGGACATCAGCATACTAAGGGCGCCGATGGCAGCCGCTATCAGTCCATTTATGAGCCCACTGAACCCTCCCAACCCATGATGAGTGATGATGTAAGTGATGAAGATAGACCACAACACCGGGAACTACGTACCCTACTCTTTTCGAATAGTGTGTGGGTTCTTTAACGTCCCACAGAGTTATATGTGAACAAGGTTTGTGAGACGGGACCTTCGGTTTATCGTCCTTATCCGAGAAGACTTGAAAGTCTAATCATTTGCAGATGTCATTACAAAACAGCACTTTCTCCTGTTATTTTTAAGACCCGTCTCGCGACCTAACTTCCCAACTGAGCTAAAATGAGATTACTTCCCCAAAACAGCAAAGGGTAATTTGTCGATTCCATCTCGTAAAAAGTAAAAAATGAGAAATTTGTCGTTCCATCTCGTAAAGTAAAAACTGAAAGGATTAATTAATGAAGCCTGCATACTGCAAGCAAATCTCTTCAATTGAAAATGAAATCAAATTGATTCAAATTCTGTGTTAAGCGAATTTATTAAAACATTTGCTAAGTACCCATACAGCTTCAGCCGTTTCTCTCGTTGTCATTTCAGTGCAAAGCACTTTCGCTGTATTGTGTCCTCTTGCAAACCGAACAACAATCTATTGCTTTTATCTTGGCGACTAGGATGACTCTAGCCCTGATTTATACCTATAGTTTTTCTTCTCGTTTCTAAAGTGGTGAATAAAAATCTTTGCCTGTACTGGAGGAAGGGGAGGGTGGGGAGAGAGGGGAGGTACCACAAGACAGGAGAGACGCACACATAGTCATAACAAGGTCCAAAGAGACTCAGAGCAACAACTACCGAGGCATGTCATTCCTCAGCATAATAATAATAATAATAATAATAATAATAACAATGATGATGATGATGATAATAACAACAACAATAACAATAATAATGTAACACTTCTATAGCACTCACATCCACTAGTTGTTTGTTGTACTTTACAACAATGTTAAAAATAATAATTTTATAATAATATATACATGCACATAAATATAGAAGTAAGAAGATATAAAACATTAAACCCTAATAAAATAATTAAACCATCATTAATGAGTTTCCTAAAAAGGTAGGTCTTCAAATTTATTTTTAAAAGTACAAACACTGTTCGCTTTACCAATGTATAAAAGAACCTCTTCCACAGTCTCAGGACACATGTGGAAAATGCCCTGTCGTCATATGTTTTAGTACTGGATTTTGTGTTGCAAGAGGAGTTCTAAAGGTTTGAACGAAGTGTCCAGAAGTGATTTTGGTACTGAAGTAATTCGACCAAATGCCGAGGGCCTAGCCATTAAGAGCTTTGAAAACCAGCAAAAGTAACTTGAACCCAACACGACAGGAAATCGGAAGCCAATAACTTTTAGCAGAAGCAGACTTATAGTAATGATCAAACTTTACGAGCACCTGTTACAAAATTGATAATTGAATAATCCATAAAAAAGAGAGCTAAGGTGATCCAAATTAGAAGTGATAAAAGCTTGTACAACTGTGGCAAGATACTTTATGATCTTGAACAATTCTAAAATGGCAGATGAACGATTTGCAAAGATCTTTCACATGATGGTCAAACGACATATGTTTATCTAGAACTACCTCAAGGCTTGTGGCTTTACCATCATCATTTCCAATGTTCACGTAATCCAGAGAAGGGCCATCACGAAATTTCGAAGAGATGAGTACAACTTCAGTTTTATGCTTTATGAAATATATCAAGCGTGAGACCCAGTGTTTGATCACCAAATGAAACAATGAGAAGAGAGTTGAAAATACGACGTGCAGCGTCTTGCTGAACTTCGAGGTGTTCCTTCTGGAGATGAAAAAGTGTGTCAAATGCTTGATATTAGTTCTCAAAGAAAATGATTTTACCAGGAGAAATTAAGGATGCAAAAATGAGCAGTTTTACAACTGATTTCCAAACACTCATAAAACATTAATTTCCTTTTTTGCATTTTCTTTATGAATCATTGATGAGTTTGAAAAGTACAAATGAAAAACTTCAATGAAGAACTGTTCGTCTTATGTACAAATGAAGAACTTCAACCAAAACAATTTCTTGCTTGATGTAGGGCAGAGAGACTGGAGCTGAATTCGTGTGGTCTCTGATGCTGACGAAAAGTGGAAAAATATGCTTTTGACTTTTATTAACAAACATGCACCTGTAAAAGAGTAAAAGAGTTGGCAGAAAAACGTCCCCATGGATTACTCCAGATTTACTACGTAAAAAGAAAAATTGTACTTTGTTATTCGCAAATAACAAGTTAAAATGATGAACGTGGTGCCGTGACGCTCCTTCGAACAAATAAGGATCAGCGATTGAAAAGGAACACTTTATTTTGACCTAGTAATACAAAAAATATAATATTTAAAAAACAATTTCTATGAATAAGTATTTTTTAGAAAGTGATCTTAATTGCAAAAGAGATTGAGGGTGTCTAGGGACTTAAAACTTTAAACTCCCTTTTTCATATATTTGATTCAAATATATTGTGTTTTGCTTACTTAGTGCGAAATTTACATATGAATTGAAAATTTTACAGTTTTAGAGAAAAAGTATTAAGGAAAAATATTGCTTTTTGTGTTAAAACCCGATGTGGTCTCTAGAATAGTGTATAATGTGATAGTGCAAACTTAATTAAGCTTACCGTTATTTATTTATATTTTCTGGTTGCATTTATCTTTTAGCTGCCCACAGGAAATAAATGAAGATGAGATTAATTGAAAGTCGGCTTAAGACTGGCAGATGTTTTGCGACATATAATAATCATAGCTTAACGGAGGGTACTAAGGTAGGAGTTTAGAGTGTATGGGTCGCTCAGGTCTCTTAATCTATTCTTCTATTGTAGACCTGTTTTGGAAGAGTTTTAGTTAAAAAATTATACCCTGGTATTGATTTCCCTACTAGTGATGTAAAACCCCCAATGTGACAACGCATATTAAGTACACGGTCGACTCGAATATAGAAAAACCTGTTGTAAAACAGCACCTCTAAAACCCCGACCACGTCGGGCGGCATATACCCACAAAAGTATCCTAAGGAGGTGAGTCCTTCCCCGCCCCCCGGAACCCTTGAAGTCACTTCATAACCAAACTACACGACTTCTTTTTTATTAACAGACCAGTTGCTCTAGCCTGTTATTGCGTTTATCGTTCAACAGAAGGGAGAAGCAATGTACACGAACACTGTCATCGCCTTCTCTGTGATAATAAGTATCGAAGCACTCATCATATGTGTTGGAAACGCTTTCGTAATTTTCGTATTTTGGACGCAGTTCACGGGAAGTAGAAGACGAGCCAGCTATCTTCTGATCAATCTAGCGGTTGCCGATTTTTTAATAGGAGTCGCAAAGATTCCATCGTTTATAACCAACTCCATTCCCTCTCTGATGCGAAAAGAGAGATCTGGCCTTGGAGGCTATATTGCAGCATTTGTCATCCTGTTTTCAACAGCTTCAGTAGTTTCTCTTGCTGCTGTTTCAGTCGAACGCACTGCAGCCGTCTTGTGGCCACTTGCTCACCGAACTTCAGGTGACAGAGTGTATGTCTATTGTATTGCCTTTATCTGGGTGACTGCGATGAGTATGTCCCTCATTTATATTCTACCTTTCTTCAACGTGTGGCCCTTAGAATATGCGGTTATAGCACTGAACATCGTTCTTGTACTATCCATTCTTACCACTTGTCTTACGTACATTATTATACGCGCCCATTTGAAACGTTCACCCCAAATATTTAACAGTGATGAAAGACAAAACGTGGAAAGAAATGTAAAACTCTCAAAAACGGTATTTCTGGTCATCGCATTGTCATTTGCTTTTTGGGTTCCAGCTGTCATTTTTTACATCATCGATGACGCATTTTGCAAAGGATGTATTCCCGCCGAAGTCCTTATGGTGGGAAGTGTTTTGCATTTCGCAAACTCTCTTGTTAATCCTATCGCATATACTTGCAGGCTGTCAGTTTTTAAGAAAACGCTGAATAGACTCCTAAAAAGGCGACACGTTCGTGCGGAAATAACAAAGCTTTGAAAGAAAAATATTCCCTGCCTTGCATGGCCAAAAAATCTTCCCTCGTTTGGTCCTGACGTCGGGCATGCGCAGTAGGAAGCCCAAACAACAACGACGGCGACGGCAACATCACTCAAAAAGTCAAGTCGCTCTGCTTCAAACTTTATCGCGATTATTTCATCTCATTTAATTCACAAGATGTTGGCAATTTTTTTCTGGAGTTGAATTCTAAAAGACTGTATCGAAGTTCAGGAAAAGAAAAAGAAACTCTTTTGCATTTTGCAAACTCTCTAATAAATACTATCGCATATACTTGTAGACTGTCAATTTTTAGGGAAACTCTGAACGGACTCGTTCAAAGGCGACAAGTTCGTGTAGAAATAATAAAGCTTTGAAATAAAATGTCCCCTTTGTAAATTAGGCCATTCGTCTTTTTTTTTTTTCTCGTTTAGCGTCGAATGCGTTTCCTGATATTGGTTCGGTCGGTCGGTTTGAAAAAACCGAAAAAGAAAATCACAATTAGTCTGGGAATGAAGGAGGCCCTGGTACCCCAGGACGACTTTAAAACTTAACATTCACATACTAAGGTACATAATATAACTGTAAAAAATGTTCCTGTTTTTCTTTATGCTGTTAATTACTATGTGCATTTTTCAGATTAAAGAATTATTTCAAGTGAAAAATGGTTTAACTACGTCGTTACTTTTTTTTTTGGAAAATGACAAAAATTTGGGTTGGTTGGACGACCCTAAACGAAGAAAAAAAAGAGGATGATCTTAAGGCAAAAAAAAAATATCCCACGTTTTGTCATGACGTCAAACATGCGCCAATGGTGTCACCTGGGTATACAAAGTAACCTCTTTCATTCTGGAAATCATCCCTCTTCAGGTGTCCTGTAAAACCATGATTGCAGACTAGAAGTTGCATAGAGCGTGCGTTTTCTCTCACGCGGCCATTAGATTAATTGAAAGAAAAGAAAGTTTTATGTAAGAAAAAATTCAACTCCCACAGAAATGGTTTGGGACACCAACATGGCTGCCTTTTTATTAAGCAATTACTGTTTCGGAACCCAAAAGTGGCAGAAATAACGTCATGTGAAAATGCTCTATTAGCAATTTTTAGTACGCGAGGGAGACTGGATCGGTGTTCTGTTGAATTGCATTATGGGAATCAGTTGTAAGGAAGAAATTATGATCCAGTTTCTTGCGCAACCTTGTGATTACCAGTAAAAGTACGTCGAAAGAGATTACTTCCCCAAAACAGTGACAAAGGGTAATTCATCACATCAGTAGATTCGACAAAGATCGCGTAAACCCTTGCACGTCTAGTAACTTCAGAAATGACATATGCATTTGTCGTTCCATCTCGTAAAGTAAAAACTGTAAGGATTAATAAATAAGCATGTAATGAAGCCTGCATACTGCACGCAAATCTCTTCAATTGAAAACAAAATCAAATTGATTCAAATTCTGTGTTGAGTGAAATTATTAAAACATTCACTAAGTTCCCATACAGCTTCAGTTGTTTGTCTCTCTGCCATCATCAGTCTAAAGCACTTTTCGCCGTTTTGTGTCCACTTGCAAACCGAACAACAATCTATTGCTTTTATCTGGCGACTGAGATGGCTCTAGCTCTAATTTATACTTTGCCCGTTTACGGTGTGTGGAGTTACGATGTACGAATAAATCAAGCCAGTATTGGTCCTTCTCAGAAGAAAACAGCCCTCCTACAATCTGCTACAGGCTAGGACAACCCACACAATCCAGGACCGAGCGTGACAGATGGAGCGTCGGGTACCCTAAGCTGTACGCCAGAGAGAATATGGCGTCTGAAGAAGCCCTGAACGTTATAGAGTGCTTACCAGTTCTGGAGGAGCTAGATTGTGAACCTTTGAAGTGGAAAGAGGCTCTGGGTTCGCTTGCACCTTGAAAAGTACCCAGTCGAGGCATTATCAAATCTGAGATCCTGAAATGCTACAAAGGAGATGCCTTCACCGAGCTCTATTTGCTACTTGGCTTTCGCAAAGACTTCTGGGATAGTTACTGGGGACGCCCCATTCATCCATTGGCCAATTTGTTTCCCCTGTCACCACTAACAGTCCCAGAAGTCTTTGCAAAAGTTAACTCGGCCCGGTTTCGAAGAGATGAGTACAACTTCAGTTTTACGTTTTATGTAATATATCAAGCGTGAGACGCAGTGTTATATCACCAAATGAAACACTGAGAAGAGAGTTGAAAATAAGACGCGGGGTGGCTTCACGAACTTCGAGGTGTTCCTTCTGGAGATGAAACACTATGTCGAATGCTTGATATTACTTCTCAAACGAAATGATTTTATCAGGAGAAATTAAGGATGCCAAAATGAGCAGTTTTACATCTGATTTCCAAACACTCATTATAAACAAACATTAATTTCCTTCGTATTTTTTTTATGAATTATTGATGAGTTTGAGAAATTCAAACCAAACAACCAAAACAATCTCTTGGTTGATGTAGGACAGAGAGACTGGAGTCGTATTCGTGTGGTCTCTGATGCTCGCTAAAAGTGGAAAGTGGAAAAATGTACTTGTGACTTTTATTAACAAACATGCGCCTGTAAAAAAGAAAAGAGTTGGCAGAAAAACGTCCTTTTGGATTACGTAAAATGAAAACTTGTACTTTGTTATTCGCAAATAACAAGTTAAATGATGAACGTGGGGCCGTGAGCTCCTTCGAACAAATAAGGGTGAGCGATTGAAGGGGAACCTTTATTTTCACCTAGTAATACAATAAATACTAACAATACTAAAAAAATGTTTATGAATAAGTATTTTCGAAAATGTAATCTTAATTGTGAAACGAATTGAGGGTGTCTGGGGACTTGAAACTTTAAACTCCCTTTATCATATATTTGATCAAAATATATTGTGTTTTGCTTAATTTGGTGTGAAATTTACATATGTATTGAAAATTTCACAGTTTTAGGGAAAAAGTATTAAGGAAAAATATTGCTTTTTGTGTTAAAACCTGATGTGGTCTCTAGAACAGTGTATATTGTGATAATGCAAACTTAATTAAGTTTACCGTTAATTATTTATATTTTCTGTTTGCATTTATCTTTTTTAGCTGCCCACAGTAAACAAATGAAGATGAGATTAATTGAAAGTCAATTTAAGACTGGCAGATGTTTTGCGACAAATCATAGCTTAAAGGAGGGTACTAATGTAGGAGTTTAGAGTGTATGGGTTGCTCAGGTCTCTTAATCCGTTCTCCTATTGTGGACCTGTTTTGGAAGAGTTTTACATTAAAAATTATAGCCTAGTATTGATTTCCCTACTGATGATATAAAACTCCCAATATTACAACCCATATTAAGTACATGGTCGACTCGAATATAGAAAAACCTGTTGTAAAACAGGACCTCTAAAACCCCGACCACGTTGGGCGACACATACCCGTATAGGTATCCTAAGGAGGTGAGTCCTCCCCCCGCCCCCCGACCTGCTCTCCCGGAACCCTTCAAGTCACTACATGACCAAAGTACACGTCTTCTTTTTGATTAACAGACCAGTTGCTCTGTTGGTGCGTTTGTCGTTCAACAGAAGGGAGAAGCAATGTACACGAACACTGTCATCGCCTTCTCTGTCATAATAAGTATCGAAGCACTCATCATATGTGTTGGAAACGCTTTCGTAATTTTCGTACTTTGGACGCAGTTCACGGGCAGTAGAAGAAGATCCAGCTATCTTCTAATCAATCTGGCGGTTGCCGATTTCTTAATAGGGGTCACAAAAATTCCATCTTTTATAACCATCTACATTCCCTCTCTGATGCGAAAACGAAACATTAACGACCTCGGAAACTATATTGCAGCATTTGACATCTTGTTTTCAACAGCTTCCGTAGTTTCTCTTGCTACTGTTTCAGTGGAACGCACTGCCGCCGTTTTGTGGCCACTTGCTCATCGAACTTCAAGTGACAGAGTGTATGTCTATTGTATTGCTTTTATCTGGATGACTGCGATGAGTGTGTTCCTCATTTATATTCTACCTTTCTTCAAGGTCTGGCCCTCAAAATATGCGGTTTTAGCACTGAACATCGTTCTTGTACTATCCATTCTTACCACTTGTCTTACGTACATCATTATACGCGCCCATTTGAAATGCTCACCCCAAATATTTAACAGTGATCAAAGGAGAAGCATGGAAAGAAACGTAAAACTCTCAAAAACAGTATTTCTGGTCATCGCATTGTCATTTGCTTGTTGGGTTCCAGCAGTCATTTTTTACGTCATTCGTGACGTCTTTTGCAAAGAATGTATTCCAGCCGAAGTCGTTTTGGTGGGAACTGTTTTGCATTTCGCAAACTCTCTTGTTAATCCTATCGCATATACTTGCAGGCTGTCAGTTTTTAAGAAAACGCTGAATAGACTCCTGAAAAGGCGACAAGTTCGTGTGGAAACAACAAAGCTTTGAAAAAAAATGTTCCCTGCCTTGCATGGCCAAAAAACATTCCCTCGTTTGGTCCTGATGTCGGGCATGCGCAGTAGGAAGACCAAACAACAACGACGGCGACGGCAACATCACTGAAAAAGTCAAGTCGCTCTGCTTCAAACTTTATCGCGATTATTTGATCTCATTTAATTTGCAAGATGTTGGCAATTTTTTTCTGGAGTTGAATTCTAAAAGACTGTATCGAAGTTCAGGAAAAGAAAAAGAAACTCTTTTGCATTTTGCAAACTCTCTAATAAATCCTATCGCATATACTTGTAGACTGTCAATTTTTAGGAAAACTCTGAACGGAGTGTAGAAATAACAAAGCGTTGAAATAAAATGTCCCTTTGTAAATTAGGCCATCCTTTTTTTTCTCGTTTAGCGTCGAATGCGTTTCCTGATATTGGGTCGGTCGGTCGGATTGAAAAAAAAAAACAAAAACAATACAAAATAACAAGTAGTCTGGGAATATAGGAGGCCCTGGTACCCCAGGACGACTTTAAAACTTAACATTCACATATTAATTAAGGTACACAATATAACTGTAAAAAATGTTCCTGTTTTTGTTCCTATTTTCCTCTATGCTGTTAATTACTATGTGCATTTTCCAGATTAAAAGAATTATTTCAAGTAAAAAATGGTTTAACTACGTTGTTACTTTTTTTTTGGAAAATGACAAAAATTTGGGTCGGTCGGACGACGCTAAACGAAGAAAAAAAGAGGATGACCTTAAGGCAAAAAAGGCATCCCACGTTTTATCCTGACGTCAAACATGTGCCAGTGGTGTCACCTGGGCATAATATAGTAGCCTCTTTCATTCTGGAAATCATCCCTCCTCAGGTGTCCAGTGAAGCCATGACTGGGGACTATAGGTGGTATGGAGCGTTTTCTCTCACGCGGCCATTAGAATAATTAAAAGAAAAGAAAAGTTTTATGTAAGAAAAAGATTCAACTTCCTCAGAATTGGTCTTGAACACCAACATGGCGGCCTTTTCATTAAGCAATTACTGTTTCGGAACCCAAAAGTGGCAGAAATGACGTCATGTGAAAATGCTCTATTGGCCATTTTTAGTACGCGAAGGAGACTGGATCGGTCTTCTGTTGAATTGCATTATGGGAATCAGTTGATAGGAAGAAATTATGATCCAGTTTCCTATGCAACCTTGTGATTACCAGTAAAAGGACCTAGAAAGAGATTACTTCCCCAAAACGCTTTCAAAGGGTAACATGTTCATCACAACAGTAGATTTAACATAGATCGGGTAAACACTTGCACGTCTAGTAATTTCAGAATGAGATATGCATGTGTAGTTCCATAACGTGAAGTAAAAACTGAAAGGATTAATAAATATGCATGTATGCTGAAGTCTGTATACTGCAAGAAAATCTCTTCAGGAATTAAAAACGAAATCAAATTGATTCAAATTCTGTGTTAAGTGAAATTATTAAAACATTCACTAAGTTCTCATACAGCTTCAGCTGTTTCTCTCGCTGCCATTTCAGTGCAAAGCACTTTCGCCGTTTTGTGTCCACTTGCAAACCGAACAACAATCTATTGCTTTTATCTGGCGACTGAGATGGCTCTATCCCTGATTTATACCTATAGTTTGCCCGCTTCCGGTGTTTGGAATTACGATGTACGAATAAATCAGGCACGTACAATTCAGTGGTCTTTCTCAGAAGAAAACAGCGCTCCTATAATCTGCTACAGGACAAGCTACACAATCCAGGACCGAGCGCGACAGATGGAGCGTTGGGCAGAACATTACTCCAGACAGAATATGGTGCCTGAAGATGCCCTGAAGACGTCCCTGAACGCTATAGAGTGCTTACCAGTTCTGGAGGAGCTAGATTGTGAACCTTTGGAGCTGAAAGAGGCTCTGGGTTCGCTTGCACCTGGAAAAGCACCCGGTCAGGACATTATCCCATCTAAGATCTTGAAATGCTACAAAGGCGATGCCTTCACCGAGCTCTATTCGCCACTTTAAAAACAAGAAACAACCTGAACCGAATTAGCTCTTGCAAAGACTCCTGGGATCGTTAGTAGTTTACTATGTTGAAAATTAAGCCCCCATTGGTGCCTAGTCAGTGCCTGGCAAGAGCCTAGTCATTGCCTAATCCTGCATACCAGGAGCCGATCACTTGGATAACAATAGTAATAGTAATCGGCTCCTGTGTATACTAATCAAGTGCCTAGTCACTGCCTTCCTGCATATTAATTATGTGCCTAGTCAGGAGCCCATCAAATTTGATGGGCTCCTGGCCTAGTCAGTATTTAGCTAGCTAGGTAAAAATGTGTTCCTCCATATTAATTAAGTGCCTTTCTCCATAAATAATTAACAACACAATAGGAACAATAGGCTTGCCCATTAAGTAACTTGAGCCCGGTTTGTCGGACCGTCTAATTTGAAAAAAGGAATAAGAAGAGCGATCACCTAGCCACTCGAGAAACGGCTTCTAATGTCTTTTGATTTAGCGCTAAAAATAGGATATATAATCAAAATACATTCACAAGGTGAATTAAAAACTTTCTATTTCAATTTTGTTTGACTATTTCAAAATCGTTTTCTCCTATCTATCTAGAGGAAATGAAAAACTATTAAAGTCTCAGCGTTTCACGAACCGTTAGGCAATTAATTATGCGACTAGGCACCAACGGGGCTTAATTTTCAACATAGTAGACTACTATCGTTACCAGTGGGGACGCGCCATTCAGCTATTGGTCAATTTTTTGCCCTGTCACCAGTAACAGTCCCAGAATTCTTTGCGAAAGTTAACTCGCCCCAGTTTTCTTCTCGTTTCTAAAGTGGAGAATGAAAATCTTTGCCTGTGCTCGAGGGAGGGGAGGGGAGGGAGGGAGGGAGGGGAAGTACCACAAGACAGGAGAGACGCACACATAGTCATTCTATACAAAAACAACGGGGTCCGGAGAGACTCAGTGCAACAACTACCGAGACATGTCATTCCTCAGCATAATAATAATAATAATAATAATAAATTATAATTATAATAATAACAACAACAATACTAATAATAATGTAACACTTCTATAGCACTCACATCCACTAGTTGTTCGTTGCACTTTACAACAATATTAAAAATAATAATTTGATAATAATATATACATAAAAATAGAAATAAGAAGATTTAAAACATTTAACCCTAATAATATATTAAACCATCATAAATAAGTTTCCTAAAAAGGTAGGTATCTTTGTTAAGATACTTTATGATCTTGAACAATTCTAAAATGGCAGATTAACGATTTGCAAAGATGTTTTACGTGACGGTCAAAGGACATATGTTTGTCTAGAACTACCTCAAGGCTTGTGGCTTTACCATCATCATTTCCAATATTCACGTAATCCAGAGAAGGGCCATCACGAAATTTCGAAGAGATGAGAACAACGTCAGTTTTTATGTTTTATGTAATATATCAAGCATGAGACGCAGTGTTTCATCACCAAATGAAACACTGAGAAGGGAGATGAAAATACGACGTGCAGTAGACTACGAGTAGTCCCCCATTTTTCCTCAGGGATAGTAGAGCGAGCGAAACGCGAGCGCGCGTGAAAATCACCCCACGCGAGAAAAGGCGACACGCGGCGGGGAGAGAGAATATTGAATAAATTTTCTCTCTCCCCGCCGCGTGTCGCCTTTTCTCGCGTGGGGTGATTTTCACGCGCGCTCGCGTTTCGCTCGCTCTACTATCCCTGAGGAAAAATGGGGGACTACTCGTAGTCTAGACGTGCAGCGTCTTGATGAACTTCGAGGTGTTCCTTCTAGAGATCAAAAAGTGTGTCAAATGCTTGATATTAGTTCTCAAACAAAATAATTTTACCAGGAGAAATTAAGGATGCAAAAATGAGCAGTTTTACATCTGATTTCCAAACACTCATTAAACATTAATTTCCTTTGCATTTTTTATGAATTGTTGATGAGTTTGAGAAATACAAATGAAGAACTTCAATGACGAACTGTCCTTATGTACAAATGAAGAACTTCAATTTTTTGCAATTCACAAATAACAAGTTTAAATGATGAACGTGGTGCCGTGACGCTCCTTCGAATAAATAAGGGTCAGCGATTGAAGAGGAACACTTTATTTTCACCTAGTAATACAATAAATACAATACTAAAAAAAAATAATTTCTATGAATAAGTATTCCCGAAAATGTGATCTTAATTGTAAAAGAGATTGAGGGTGTCTACGGACTTAAAGCATTGAACTCCCTTTTTAATATATTTGATTGAGTGGAAAAATTTGCTTATGACTTTTATTAACAAACATGCGCCTGTATAAAAGAAAAGAGTTGGCAGAAAAACGTCCTCTTGGATTACGTAAAATGAAAAATTGTACTTTGTAATTCGCAAATAAGAAGTTTAAATGATGAACGTGGTGCCGTGACGCTCTTTCCAACAAATAAGGGTCAGCGATTGAAGAGGAACACTTTATTTTGACCTAGTAATACAATAAATGCTAACAATACTAAAAAAAATAATTTCCATGAATAAGTATTTTTTTAGAATGTGATCTTAATTGCAAAAGAGAGTGAGGGTGTCTAGGGACTTAAAACTTTAAACTCCCTTTTTCATATACTTGATTAAATTATATTGTGTTTTGTTTAATTTGGTGTGAAATTTACATATGTATTGAAAATTTCTCAGTTTTAGAGAAAAAGTATTAAGGAAAAATATTGCTTGTCGTGTTGAAACCTGATGTGGTCTCTAGAATAGTGTATATTGTGATAGTGCAAACTTAATTAAGTTTAGCGTTATTTATTTATATTTTCTGATTGCATTTATCTTTTTTCGCTGCCCACAGTAAATAAATGAAGATGAGATAAATTGAAAGTCAATTTACGACTGGCAGATGTTTTTCGATATATAATAATCATAGTTTAAAGGAGGGTACTAATGTAGGAGTTTAGGATGTATGGGTTGTTCAGGTCTCTTAATCTATTCTTCTATTGTAGACTGTTTTAGAAGAGTTTTACATTAAAAATTATAGCCTGGTATTGATTTCCCTACTAGTCATGTAAAACTCCCAATAGTACAACACATATTAAGTACACGGTCCATTCGAATGTAGAAAAACCTCTTGTAAAACAGGACCTCTAAAGCCCAAACCACGTCGGGTGGCACATACCCGTATAGGTATCCTAAGGAGGTGAGTCGTCCCGGGGTCGTCCCCCGCCCCCCGCCCTACTCTCCCGGAGCCCTTGAAGTCACTACATAACCAAACTACACGCCTTCTTTTTTATTAACAGACCAGTTGCTCTGTTAGTGCGTTTGTCGTTCAACAGACAGTTCTTTTTGGGAGGGAGAAGCAATGTACACGAACTCTGTCATCGCGTTCGCTGTCATAATGAGTATCGAAACACTCATCACATGTGTTGGAAACGCTTTCGTAATTTTCGTATTTTGGACGCAGTTCACGGGAAGTAGAAGACGAGCCAGCTATCTTCTGATCAATTTAGCGGTTGCCGATTTTTTAATAGGAGTCACAAAAATTCCAGGGTTTATAACCATCTCCATTCCCTCTCTGATGCGACAACGAAACATTGACGACCTCGGAAACTATATTACAGCATTTGACATCCTGTTTTCAACAGCTTCAGTAGTTTCTCTTGCTACTGTTTCAGTGGAACGCACTGCAGCCGTCTTGTGGCCACTTGCTCATCGAACTTCAAGTGACAGAGTGTATGTCTATTGTGTTGCTTTTATCTGGATGATAGCGATGAGTATGTTCCTCATTTATATTCTACCTTTCTTCAACGTGTGGCCCTTAGAATATGCAATTATAGTACTGAACATCGTTCTTGTACTATCCATTCTTACCACTTGTCTTACGTACATCATTATACGCGCCCATTTGAAACGTTCACCCCAAATATTTAGCAGTGATCATGGTGATGAAAGACAAAACGTGGAAAGAAACGTGAAACTCTCAAAAACGGTGTTTCTGGTCATCGCATTATCATTTGCTTGTTGGGTTCCAGCTGTTATTTTGTACGTCATCCATTATGTCTTTTGCAAAGAATGTATTCCAGCCGAAGTCGTTATGGTGGGAACTGTTTTGCATTTCGCAAACTCTCTTGTTAATCCTATAGCATATACTTGCAGGCTGTCAATTTTCAAGAAAACGCTGAATAGATTCCTAAAAAGGCGACAAGTTCGTGTGGAAATAACAAAGCTCTGAAAGGAAAATGTCCTCTTCCTTGCCAATCATGGCCATCTTATCATTTTTGCCTCGTCGTGAGAGACCTCTGCTAGCAGGGAACATCAGACCCAAAGGGAAAAAAAACCTCCAGCATAAAGCAAACGATGCAATTTTAAATTAATACTTATAAGGGCAAACAGAACGAACAAACAGCTTTACCTCAGTCCCGTTCAGCCCCGTCGTCGACAAAGGACGCCGCTGTATTCGTGGTGAACAATGATGGTGATTTTAATGAAATTCATTAACCGTTGGTCCATCGTCGAGTAGCTGACGCTATACGATGTTATAAGTTCCTTGCAGTATTTCTATTAAACAGTCCAGTTTTTCTTTGAAAACACACACGCTAAACTTCCCGTAGAAGTTACCTCAGCTGTTTGATCCTGAATTATGCTTTGCAACTGAGAAATAACGACAGTGCTTGTAAATACGGTTCCGGTCTTCGCACCCCAATACAAATAACTGGAAAATTGAACTTTCTCCGATCTCAGTTGCTAATACTGTCAAAAGATGCGTCGAATTGCATTATGGGACTGTTGCAAAAGACGATTTTTTTCTCCCGCAGTGTCCTCGCAATAGCCAATAACAGGAGAGATTATTTCTCCAAAACATTCGTAGAGTAATTCGCCACAACACTGAGTCATTCTTATGTGCAAACTCAAGTAAGCCCTTGCACACGTGGGGAAGTTAAAGCCTGGT